ATAACCCTTTAACTTTTAGAAGTTTGCTTGATTTCATTTGATAATGATTTTTCTATTCATGATACACACATTTTAGCTAATTGATGTTAATTGATAATTACACCAACATAGAAAGTTTTATTCTATTTTTATTTTTTCCGATTTTTTTTGTGTTTACGATAAGATGTAGGAAACTCTTCCCTAATACTATGCAAGTTTGAATTTTAAATGTATCTTGGGAAGTAACTGTGGAACTAAGAAATACATGGACTTACATGTTTATCTTACATCTTTTTTTTTATATTAATTATTGAAATTTTTCTTTAAAGTACTACATTTCTTTTCAAACATTAGTTATTTTTTATCATGAAACATTTGATATACTTATGTCTATTTGGTTAGTTTTTTATACTCACAATGGGGAAACAATTTGTATTTACACTTACTGAAATTTCCTACCATATTAAATCTTTTTCAATTAATTTTTACAACACAAGGCACTTTGTGTGATTATTTCAATGTCCACTATGAGGAATGGTTAGTTCACTCAAATAATAATAATAGTAAAAATAGATAATTCTATGACTTCCACATTGTATATGAGCTGACTCTGATTATTTATAAGTCTACTTGTGTTCCTGATACACTAGGCCATCACACAAACCTCTTCCACACCACCTGACCTGGCCACCTTTTGTCACCTGCTTTGGGTTTTTCAAATCACTTGCAGGGATGTGTCAAGATCAATATCAAAGCGAAAAAAAGGAAAAATCCTCTGATATCCAATTTCATTAGACAGTTTTTTCATACCCAAAATTGACTGGGATAACTTTCTATTGCTGAAGCTCCTAACTTTCTTCAAAAATATCTTGTTTTATTTCTGACGATATCCTCTGTGGCATTGTGAAATTCATCTCTTTAGAAATACCAACAAAAACCAAAAATTCAGTCTAGCTATATGCCTGAATGAAATTGCAGTCATCACTCACTGTAACCACTACTTCCATCTTTTATTACTGAAAATTTTTTATTGAGACTCATGCCACATTGAGAACTGGCCAAAGAGTTGTTATTTAGACATATTTTTGATTTCATTTTGGACAGTTCTTTCATACCTTTATACTGACTGGGATAACTTCAGATCTTTCATTGCTGAATCTCCTAACTTTCTTCAAGAATAGCCTGTCTTCTTTCTGAAGGCATCCTTTGTGGCATTGGGAATTTTATCCCTTTTTAGAAATACCAACAAAGACCAAAAAGTCAGCCTAGCTATATGCCTAAATGTGCTGCTCTCATCACTCACTGTAACCACTACTTTCATCTTTATTACTGGAAATACTGTTGTGAGACTCATGCTACATTCAGAACTGTATGTAATCCTTGCAAAAGTTATGCAGATTAAGATCAGCTTTACACAGTCATAACTGATGACAAAAGACTTGGTTTCTATGATCTCTGAAGAATTGCTAAAAGATTCTTAACATTTAAATCTACAACTATTAATTGATATGAGGTTGTTTCTCCTACAAAGGGGGACACCTGTTTGATTTCTGCTGAAAATCACAATTTTGTTTGAGATTTCTGAAACATTTTTTTTTTTCAAATACAATGTATCTACTCTAATAATGTTTGAAACTGAATAATAAATTTTTAACCTAACTGTATGTGACTAATAAAGATTACTCTTAGTCAAATACTAAGCACTCATCCTGTGTGCATTGTTATTTCAGAGAAATAAATATATAATTTAGTTTTATTTGTTTATTTTTATTTGTATGTTAAGTTTCTCAATGTTATCAAAATTTTCATGAAAGCTATTTAAAAAAAAAAAAAAATTTGCTTTAACTTTTAGTCTAGTGGTGATGATGATGATGATCTCTGTCACACATCTTCTGAATTAGTCTCCTCTTCTGAATCTCCCTTTGGTTGTCTATCAAACACTAACAGGTTGGTAGAAAAAATATTGCTAATTCTCCTCTTGACTTATGAAAATAACTTGAAGACATTTTACATTAAAAATAATGAAAGTAATATTCGGCGAAAAAAAAAAAAAAAAGTAAATTTTTTTTTTTTTTTCTAGTGAGGTTTAACATACATGTATGTAAAACCAATGGTGCGTCAAAATGTTTCTCTTGAAACTGCTATTTTACTGTATACTGTCTTGGCAATTTTTATTGTTTTAAAAAGCTGTTTTTTAGAATTTTAATAAAACCCAAACATATGTAACTAGATCTATGCATTTTCTTTTTTTCTTAGAAATGACAACAAAAGTATTAAACACTATTCTTGTAATTAAAAAGTCTAATAAGTAATGTTTTTCTTAATTCTTGAGGCGCAAAAAAATTAAATAATGCAAAAGTATCTGTTACATGAATGAATATTTTCTTGTTAATGCACATAATGTAACCCTATTAATCACATAAGTTCAATATTATTCATTGACAACTTTAATTCAAAATTCAGCTATGCATACTTATTGTTCCATCCTTGTGGTATTAAAACAAATTACTGCTATACTCTGGTTTGTATACTAGATCAATTATTCCTCTTTAAATAAATTGCTACAAATCCAGGATGTAAACATTTATAAACAAAGATTATGTACTAAACCGGTGATTCCATTTTTTTTTTTCTCTGGCCACATTTTTGTAATGAAAAGTTTGCTCATGTCTCACCAAATTTTATGTAATAAAAAGTACATTTAAAAATAAAAAAAAACAGGGTTAAAGGGAGATAATCGGATTCAAAGTCAGAACATTATCATTGATAACTCTCTCTTCCAATTTATGGACCCTAGTTACTATATACTTAATACATGATATAATGATAAAATTGGTCAATGATTGTTTATACTGGGACTCATGCATGCAATTACAAGTAATCCATAAAATTAAATTTTGAAATTATTTATTTTTGGCATATGAATTTTTTAAAAACTGTTTCTAAATCTTTGTCTTTCAATCATTCTGCTTCACCTTCTATCCTCTTCCCCTGCAACTATGAGGTGCACTGTACTGTTTGGGAACTACAGTACTAAAATGTTAATACAAATTCAGTCTAAATTATTTAATACTTCTAACTTTTCAAATAAAGTGGACATTAATGACTATGAAATAAATTCTAGAGAAATAAAGAAATGTTGTTATTGTTTCAGAAAGGCAAATATTCCTGACATCAGTGTTCAGCATATTTCTTCAAATGGTAAGTAGTTGTCTGTGATCTCTTGTAATCTTGTAATGACCTTTGTCTTTCACTGGAAATTGTCCAGAATTCGATGGGGGCATTACATAACATACATTTTACAATAAACTAATGTAGATATTCAACTGCAGTAAATCTCTACACATTTCTATTGTCTGATATTTACTGTATTTATTATTCTTTCAGTGTTGTATTAGACTTATATATTTTGTCTACTGTACTATATCAGGGCTGGCCAAAGTTGCTTAATGTAAGAGATGCAATCAATACAGTTCAGATGTTTGAGAGCCAAAAGACAGGAAGAACATTTACACTACATGATGTAGGTGTGATCCTCTTAATTCCCTTACCCATGACATCCATTTTTTATATTTATATATATATATATATATATATATATATATATATATATATATATATAAAAATAATAAGAAATAACAGTAAGATTTATAATCCATTGTTCTTAGCAATTATTTTTATTTTAAAAAGAAACGGTGCTTGATACAAACAGTAGAGCAAAATATTATAATTATTTTCTTTTTTAAAAATATGATTCCATCACGACACAAAAATTTCTATGTTTGTTTCAAAACTGGAACAAAATTTATAAATTTAATTATAAAAATTAAACTTAAAATCCATAGTCTCATTCCATTGTCAAGCAATGTTGGGAATAACTTTCTAAGAAATTTACTTAATTTATAAGCACAGAAAATATTAATATTATGATTTGTTATGGTTAAGGAAAATTCAATCTATTTTGATTAGGAATGGTTGGGTTTTTAATTTCCCTAGACAGCTTATGTATCAAATATATGTTACTTACAAAGTCCGGTTAAGTTTAGATGTGTGTGTGTGTGTGGGGGGGGGCTGCTTGCAGACATAGACATCAGTTATTCAACAAGTTGTCTGGGTTTTCAATGACAAAAAAAATTTTGGCATTTTTCTTTATTTGCTTAATTCATATTTTTATACACAAAGATTTTCCATAATGGTCATTTAAATATGTGCAAGTCATATTTTTAATATTTATATTTTATTCTTACAGATTTAAAGTACCATTCCTCCTAAGAACTAATAGACTATACACTATTTTTACAAATAAATATATTAGAATTTAATTACTAATTAATGATCAAATATAAAAATGTGTTTCATCTCTTTTTTTTTTTTTTTTTTTTTTTTTTTTCACACAAAATTAATTATTACATAAGGAAAATATTTGACAGTGCCCACAAAAAATAACTATTTCTTTTCTTTGATTTAGTAAATTTTTATTTTTCAGAAATTTTATGTTTAATTTTTCTTGTATGCACAAAGGACATGGGTCATTTAATGACCTACAAGCTCTAGCTTTTCTTATTAATTATAAAGCTTGAAAGTTTTCTTTTTATATTAACTGTGATAAAAAAAAAAGGAGTTCAGCCAACAGATTTCTACAAGCCATATATTAAAGGTCAAAGAGCCATGGTTTGGCCAGCCCTGCAGTATATTATGCTTAATGGTGTTTATAAAGTTGTAGCTGCTCAAAGAAACTTTCTGCTAAATAATCACTTCTGCATTAACAGATTGTGACAGCTATTAGGGGGATGTGATTAAATATGCTTTAATGTTTTAAAAAATTTATTCAATATTATTATTGCTTAGGTAATAAGCATTATAACATAATACAAAAAGGAATTTTTGACAATATATACATTTTTTAACATATTCATGGTTATTTTTTAACTTTTATCAAAGACAACATTCTTGTACTTTTAGTCATAGATAATATTATACATTAATTATTAATTTTTTTAATTAATAACTATTTGTGATCAGTTGTTGACATTAATAGCTATCTGTTGATGTGTTAAAATTTTGGAATTAATGACCTACAAGCTCTAGCTTATATAAAAACTTAAATTTCATCTCTCTGATAGATGTCACAATCTGTAAACATTTTAAGGTAATGAAAAAATGAGAGTATAAAACTTGATCTATTGTATTTTTATTTTTTGTTAAACTTATATCAGCCTATTTAGCAGTGTGTCAGTTTTTCAATTACTCTTAAAATCTTAGATAATTCTATCACTTTCCCCATTCTCTATGCCTGTCATTCTGCATTTGTCTCTTTCTTTCTCAAAAAAATTTTTTTCTGATAAGCACCATTAATTTTTGTTTCATTCTTTCCTATTTCTTTTATTCTCTAGAACCTGATGACACCCACTCAAGCAGTGACTGTGATTTGCATTTCCTCCAGAGTAAAACCAGCAGGATAGCAAGAGACTTTGATATTTTAACAAATTTGGGAGAAGGTGCCTTTGGTTATGTGATTAAAGTAAATCTTTCATTTTTTTATCTTAATTTTGGGAACATTTGAACAGAAACCTGTTAAATATTCTTTCTTAGCATTTAGAACTAATATAGAAACTAGTAGTGAACAATCAGGAATGTGAGGCTCACCCTGGCAAGGAGGTTCCCAACTAGGGTCCAGTTGGCAGGCAAAAATAAAGTGTGTAACTTGATACATTTCCTAGAGATTCATGGTATACTGATGGGTATTTATTAAGTTATAACCTACCTATCACCTTGACCAGGTTAACAGTTCTGTCAGTCAGACTCAACTTCCATTATAGTTGAGTACTGTTTGTTACTAGTACCAAATTCTACACTTGCTCAGTGAGACTCAACTTCTATTACAGTCAAGTATTATCATTTGTCACCAGCAAACTCTACAAGTAGTAGTATTTCTCTTCAAATTGTCAGTATGTAGATGTACATTTCTGTTGTATGTGATCAACAGTTGACTAAGCAAGATCAAACTTTGTAAGATTAAACCTGTTTTCAATATTATATTTTAATGAAAAATAACAAATTTTATTCTCTTTGCACATACCTTCTTTCATTAACATTTGCATTTTTTAAACATTTTTAAGATAGCCTACATTTCAACAAACAAATTTACATGTTTAACTTGGCAAAATTTTTTTTATAAACCAACAATGCAGAAATTGTTTATAAAGCTTTATTCCAGAGTTGTTTACATGTGGAATAGTTTGCTTAAAATTGTCTTTATACCATTTATCATAACTTTAGCAGTCCAATTAAGATTATTATTCTAAAATCTCTCTTGCAACTTGTAGATTGAAAGTTCAACATGAGGTAATCATTCACTATCATGTCTTTTTGAAGATATACATTGAAAGCCATTATTGGGTAATGCTTACTAGCATCATCATTTCATCTTCACTGCTAGAAAAAATTTATTATATATATATATATATATATATATATATATATATATATATGTGTGTGTGTGTGTGTGACACCACTAATAGCACTTCTAACAATAACACAAAGTTCATAATCCTACCACCACCACTGTTTCTAAAAGAAACCTTATAAATTAGTTATCCCTAATACTAAGATCTTTACCAATCCTGTCCAAGGCAGAGATATAATTAGGAAGAAAATAAATCCAACACCAACTAAGATGTTGGTACTTATCAAATAAATTTGTTAGAATGTAAAATCATTTATATTGGAGAGACAAGAGTCAATCAGTTAAGTGCCATATATGATACATGCTTGGGCAATCATGTATCTTTCAATACATGAGTGACAGGACAGACTTTTTCCCACAGTAGGTTGACATTTTTTTTTGCAGTAGACTAGTTACCAACCAAGGCTAAAGAACCCAGTTTGGGATGGGGAGAAGAGATGGTATTTTTTGTGAATCTAACAAACTTGACTGTAATTTTAACTCTGCACTCAGTTCTTATTCTGAGACGATATCCATTACACCACAATGCACATCACAAAATTTAAAAGCCTGTATCTATAAACATAAGAGATTTATGTTTAGACAGCCATTCAAACTCTCTTGTAATACACAGGAACAAAACTGACCATAATTTTGATTTTAAAATTGCTATGCTAATTAAAAAAGAGCAATTCTTTACATCTAAAGTACATAATAGTATGTACATAGAAACATTCCCAAATCAACATGTGAAAAACCAACACACCTCTCTCTCCACACCTATCTCTCTCTCCACACCTATCTCTCTCTCCACACCTATCTCTCTCTCCACACCTATCTCTCTCTCTCTACACACCTATCTCTCTCTCTCACACACCTATCTCTCTCTCTCACACACCTATCTCTCTCTCTCTCACACCTATCTCTCTCTCTCTCACACACTTTCATCTTAATTCCACATAGACAAGCACTTGCATACATAAAGCAATATTTATGGTTTTTCAGATAGACTTGAAACCTGTTAATTTTGCGAAACTTTGGATAAATGTGTTGTCTCTTCTTGAAATTGCAACACCACAAATGCTAATGCTGGTTGAAAGTCAAACGCACGGGAAACATGATTAACCAATGAAAATCAAACACAAAAGTAAAAATACCATCATTTTTTGATGAAACTTTAATAAAAGTGAAACATTAAATTGATAAACATTGATTTCTCGTGTGTGTATATATATATATATATATATATATATATATATAATTTTCTGTTTATGGGTCACTATTTTAATTTAATTTTTATTTATTTTGTAATGATTTTTTAGCATATCTCCTTTTGATTTCAGGTAAAAAACAAATTAGATGACAGATTTTATGCAATAAAAATTATTGACTCAAAACATAACAGCAAACTATTCAAAAACATTACAACTGAAGTGAAACTGCTGTCACGTCTCAACCATGAAAATATTGTCAGGTATGACAATTTTAGATATTTTTTTTATTTTTAATTTAAAATTAACTGAACTTTATTTTAATTAAGAACATCTGTGCTTTACATTGTAAAGTTTTTACCTTATTTACATTTGTTTGGACTGTTTGCATCATATGTTGTTTTGGCCTTCTTCATGTGATATACTGTACATTGGAATTATTTTAACCACCAGTGTAGATTGTTCTAGTTCCACATGTCATGCCTTTTCTAAATATCTCAGTTTCAGTTATCTCCCTTTAGTAACTCAACTCTCCAAGTTTTTGTTCCCCTCTGCTGTGGCCAGGAATTGAACTCATAACTCTTTGGGTCAAGTCACTGGATTACTTCAACCAATGCTTTTATCCACATGGCCAAACATTGTGAATATGACAATAAAGATGAGGACAACAGCCTGAACAATGTAAATAGTGTAAATAGATGCATTTTTTAAATTACATAATTTAAACATTGAGTAATCTGAAAATGGAATGCTGTCAATGTTTCATCTTAGAATGCCAGAAAATATGAGGCAAACTAAAGAATTATATCTGTCAAAGGATTATGCTAAAAGCAACAAAGATAAAAGTTATGATCTTAAAAATAATAAAAATACTAAAGTTCCGAACCAGAAATAATACAGAAAGACCAAAGCACTGGCAGCTAGATCTTATAATTTGACTATTGAAATTGCCAGACGTAACTGTAAGTTCTATGAAAATAGTTTCTTTTCTTGCGTTTCTGGCATCTTGCTTTCTTGTCAACTACATTCTTAAAACATTCACAATATTTTGGCTTTTGTACAATCTGGCCTTCATCAGGATCTGTCTATATTTCTGAGATGAGGAATTGTAACTAGTTGCACTATTTACGTTATGCAGAATAGTCCTCAATGGAAGAGTGTTTGTTTACACCTTAGCAGTAAGGTCATTTTTGATTGGTTACCAAATTACATTATGGTTGTGCAAGTAGTTCGCAAGATGATTGAATATGTTTGTTTACTTTTTTTGTGTGTCTGTGTTAGTAATAGGTATTGTGTGATATTTGCTTCCCCCATCCTGGACCTTGTTTTGGTACACTTGAATTGTATTGATACTGAAAGAAATTTTTTTTTTTTTAAATATTTTCTTATATTCCAAAGATATTACAATTCATGGATTGAAGAGGATTCTTCATCTCCAGATGAATCAAAAAACCTGCCAAATTCTGAGGAGGATGAAGAATCTTCCTATTCTCTGTAAGTACAAAAATCCTCAACTGAAATTTCACACAGGTAATTTTGGAACACAAAATATTCATTAATTTAACTAACATGCTAACTGGATAATTTAAGAGATTGATTTTGCTAGAAGTGCTAAACCCCCACACCCAACCATTTTTTTATTTTTTATTTTTTTTTTTAATTAGTGCCATCTTATGCAAGGCAGTAAAGCCACTAAGACACATGAGGTTACAGGATGTGGAAAAATTAGGTATAGAAACATTAATAATGACAAGAAGAGGAAACAGTAGATAGTGAGTGAAATTGCATTTAAATTTTTACAGATTAAAGTTGGTTGGAAAGCATGACTCCAGAAGGGAGTTCCACAAGCGAGAAGTTCTGAATTCAGAATTTTCTTTCTTCTAGATGTGTTGCCAAAGAGCCCAGTCTACTCTGCTGTTTAGCACATAGCTAGGGGAAGAAATGGATTCATGCCTTACACAAGTCAACTTTCTGTGCCAATAACCCTCTATGCTACATGCACATTAATACATAATTCTTAGCAGTATTTAATAATAACAAATGCACTTAATATTGTTGGAATTTTTGAGATGATGAATTATCATTATTATATGAATTATATTAAGAATTATCATTATCATATGGATTATCATTATCATATGGATTATCATTATCATATGGATTATCATTATCATATGGATTATCATTATCATATGGATTATCATTATCATTATTACATGAATTGAATTAAGGATTATCATTATTATATGAATTGAATTAAGGATTATCATTATTATATGAATTGAATTAAGGATTAACATTATTACATGAATTGAATTAAGGATTATTATTACATGAATTGAATTAAGGATTATCATTATTACATGAATTGAATTAAGGATTATCATTATTACATGAATTGAATTAATGATTATCATTATTACATGAATTGAATTAATGATTATCATTATTACATGAATTGAATTAAGGATTATCATTATTACATGAATTGAATTAAGGATTATCATTATTACATGAATTAAGGATTATCATTATTATGTGTTACTATTTAGGCCAACTGCTGATTTTTACTTGATATTCTCACAATATTTCAGCTTATATTTTCTAGCCTTCTTCAGACTAGATAATAGAAACAGATAATACAACTCTGGTGTATAAGACTGCTGGAATAATCGATGTCCATCTGAGGTCCTGGCAATCTCCTCAGTAGACATAAGATGTAGGAGTTTCTAAGAAAGAAATATTCATCAAAAAGTACCTCCACCTAAATCAGAGCAGTCCTACCACCCAAGTCAGGGCATATTTGGTACCCTTGTAGTTGTGAGCTCAACAATCTCTGAATTTGGTAGTGCTGGATAAATCACATACTTGTTCAGTTGAAGAAACAAACAAATGACCTAATTAGTAATAAGACTAGTAACCAAAGCAAAATAATATATGGTTGAATAAAGGACTTGATTTGGAATTACAAGAAGATTACAAAGACACACAACTGTTTCAAATAGTAAAGCATACATATTCAACAAAGTCCTTTGGAGTACCTTCAAATCATTTATCAAAAAGTCCACTTAGATATGTTTTTCTGTCTTGACCTAATAACTGCAAATTACAGAATTTTTCATCATTTATGTTTTATGGATCAAATGTAAAGAGAATGGGTTAAATATTATTGCATCTGCAATAATATCTCGTATCACCTCATTTTGTTATTCTGGGTTGTCCTCATATAGCTTTGCCAATTTTTGTGAAGAAGTCATTAGATGGCACAGTCATGTCCATATAAAAATAGAGCACTTCCTGTCTTCACCCCTCTTTTTTTTTTCTTTTTTTTTTTTTGAGTACCACATAATTTCATCTATTTCCATATATTGAAACTTGAATAAAACCACATACTCTAAATATAAATTGAGACCTTTAAAGAATCCCCCCCCCCTTTTCTTTTTACTAGTTCCCAATATGTGTGTTTTGAAGACTCTGACAAAGACGAATGTGATGATGATGAAGAAGATGAAGATGAAGACTTACAAGTTGATAGTTTTGCAGAGGTAAGATTCTCTTTTCTATATTCATATTTATGCATTTTACTTTTCTTTTATCAGAGTATCATCTTGCAACTTGTAATTGTATTAAAAATAATTATAATTGAAATTTATTCAAATATAAATTGTAGCAAGCATGTATTTAATTTTAGTTGTATAAATAGTAAGATAAATTTTTCTTAGACACAGAAAATAAAATGGTCTTACTGAGTGAATAGCTGGTCAGATGGCTGAAGGCTTCTTTCTGACAGTTACAGCTTCCTGTTTCTCTGCTTGAAATGCAGAAGAGTGACTGATTCATCTTCTGAGTCCCTATATTTATGGGGAACCAGATTCTTTCAGGTTACAAGTGTGCTAATCAGTAGGATTGGTGAGAGGCTTGATGACGTAATTTCACAAACTCTCACTGGTAAGATCAGCCAAATTCTTGACCCCCACCCCAAATAGACAATTAAGGTTGAGTGGTAAATAGCATGAAAAAATAAAACAATTCATTACTGAATTTTGGCCTAGATCTCACCTAGCATTGGTCAGCTGGTTTATCTCAAATGTCATTTTTCTTGTGACAAGGGGTGGGTGTTCTATGTTTCACTTGTTCACATATCCATTACTAGTTAAAATCTTGTTAAATCAGGAGTTCAAACACAATAGTTGCTAATTTGATTTTTATTGTAATGCCTTTTGTAAGTAACTCTTTTAACCTTATCTTTTTTCTTTTTTCTTTTTAATTCAACCAATTCAAGTCCTGTTCTTAAATAGTCATGTCAGATCAAAGCTTCCATATGGATGTAATGCATGGTACCAAAATCATTCAGGAATATCTAAACTATCAGTTGTATACAACTACATTCAGACCAATGGTTAAAAATGGCTTCCAGTGAATGAAGCCTGTAGGTCTTATCAAGGACCATCCTTGTTCAAACTTTGCAGATTGGCACTACATAATTATAAACAAAGTATTGTGCATGTTTTATTAGTGGTTATATACCAAAGCAAACACATGTGGATGCCACATGTATCAAGATGGCTCTCTCTCTCGAGACTCTTTTTATTTCCAAAATGAGGCTTTATTCCCAAACCAGTGTTCTCTTCAAAGGGACATAACTCTACATATTTAATGAACTAATAAACGGAACAATATGGAACTAATAAACAGAAACCCTTTTAAGATATTTGTTTATAAATGTCTGGATTTAAGTTTTGTAACAAAAGGATTTAGGTGAGAATACTTTGGATGTTTACTTTAGGGGAACTCTGTAATAATTGAGTTATTTTTATTTGTGTTTTTAAATGTCTAGTGGGTGGCTTTGTTCATGGAAATAGGGGGAGGGGACACTCTTCCCTCAACTTTGTTTACTGGAAGTCATTTTCCAAGCTCTCTGTTTCCTTTAGCTTACTGTTAATAGACTGAATAATGTTGATGATTGTGTTGGATAGTTCCTTTACCATTGTTCATTTCCTCAATGTAGGGTCATGGCATGGGGACATTTCCAATTACTGTGCCTTTCTGGTTAGGGCTGTTTAGTATCTTAACCCACACACATGTTCTTTCTTATAGTCATCCCTTTCCCATAAGGGTTCAAAGTTGGGCCACTTAGGTGTTAGTAGCTCTGGATGGATTGGGAAATTAGTCCTCAATTTTCTCCCCATTAGAAGTTCATTAAGTGAATATCTGCAGTCTATAGGAGTCACTATATGGGCCAGCAGAGACATATATGGTCTTGATTTTTTTTTTTCGTATTCTGTTTCTACTGCTCCATTGCATTTGGAAAATATTGGGCTATATGTAATGTGTTGAAATCCCCAAATGTTTGAAGTTGGCAAATTCTTTTGAAGTGTATTGGCTTCCTGGATTTGTTGTCAGAATCACTTGTACTCAATGTTTGGCAAATATGGATTTTTAGACTTTTTATTATTGCTCTGGTTGTAAGTGCACTTGGCTGAGCAAGCTCTACATATATGAAAAATAGTCAACATATGTTCAATTTAAATAAAGTGTATTTAGGCAGCAAGAATTTTTAAAAAAATGTTTGTTAAACAATAAAATGTAAAATGCCTAAATATGCCTCATTTAAATGATATGACCCTGCAATGGACAAGAACATTAATAAAACAATATTTTGATATTCTCTCATGAAAAGAGAAATGAAAACCTCCAAGGATCAGATCAAATATCTCCAAGCAGAAATAAATAATACTTTGAAAAATTAATAAAAACAAATTGGATTGACAGATTTTTTTTGGTATTGTTTAACATATATACTCACACACACACACACACACACACACACACACACACACACACAGAGTAAAAAAGAATATCAGCCTTACACCAATAAGTGCATAAATTAGTTTTTAACTTAATATAAAAAATAACAAAAATGAGAAAATCTATTATCAGCTGCTGAAGCATCCTGGTAATTGGACAGAACAATTAATAAATGGTTCATCTACGAAATTTACAATTGCCTGAGGAGACACATTAGTATGCATTGAAACACAACTGCAATTGTGTAGCAATTTTTACATGTTTTAATATGCTGAAATATATTTAGTGTATTGGGGCAGCAGATCATTATTCAAATATATATTGTTAAATATAACAGACAATGAATGTCTATTATATTTGATCATGAACTGTTCTATACTTTGTATAGTGGCTTTAGTTTTGTGAGAAAATAGAGACAAAAATTGTCCAACATTGGTGAACTTCTCTGTAATATCCATACAACCATTCTGGTGATGGGTCATGTAATCTGAAAGTTTAGGGTCGAGGAACAGTATAACAAAAAAAAAAAAATCCAAATGTTGGATAATTTTTGTCACTATACAAAGCTTAGAATGGGTCATGATGAAACATAATAGACATTCATTGTCTGTTATATTTAACTATATATATATATATATATATATATATATATGATTAAATAAATTAAGAAAGACAACCTTAAGGTTCCATGACTATATTTTATTTCCCCATAAAATATATTTTTCCTGGTTCATTAGGTCACATCTCTAGTTACAAAGGAATTTGGTTTCTTTTATTTTTAATACAAGTTTTTGAGGGATAGTTTTAGATTGATGAAAAGTGGGAGGGGGAGGACCATAGAATGATCTAAATTAGAAATGGAAATTAGGGATAAGGTTGTTTTTAAACCATCTTTAATAATATACATAGGTTCAAGTGTACTCAGCCAATTTTTATTTATATATATATATATATATATATATATTAATGCATGTATCATTAAATAATATAAACAAGTTTTGTCTATTTATTTTAAGTAAATTCCTCTCATATTATCGAATAAGCTTTTTAGCATTATCACTGAAACATGAAAGAAAATCACCATGTTGATACATGTTTTTATTAATCCTGTCTAAACTTTCAGCTTACATAAGCCATCATCAGTGATTACAAGTACATTACAATAAATTAAATAATAAATTAAATAACATGTATATAAAACTATAAAATTTTATTTCAATCACATGGTCAAATATGGTCCATAATCAATATATTGCTAATTTGAGTTTCTCGTATATTTTTATAAATATCTAATTTGATAAAAAAATAAAATTTTATTTTTAATTTGCAGAAGCATGACATTAAAAAGAGGTATCTCTGTATTCAGGTAATTAATATTTATTTTTGTGTCTCTGTGTGTGGAGCATGTGTAAAAATTTATTTTTGACTACATTCAGAAATTGTCTATTGAACATGCAAAAAAAAGTTGACATATTTTAGCAAATTATTCTGCTTTATATTAACACATTCCATGAAATATATAGAATTTCTTTTTGTCTCTTTCATATATATATATATATATATATATATATATATATATATGTCATTCACAGACAGTACTTTTTCACTGTATCACAGCTCCTCAGTGCAACTAAACATCCAAATGCTTCAAGCCAGGATCGAAACCCAACCAATTTGGTGTCAGTCAGAGTTTCTACCACTGAGCTATCATCATTCAGCAGAGAGAAACTGCTAATTCTAGTGTATTGTTTTTACGAATGTAAACAAACGCCGATCAATCAGAGGCATCCAATTCATTTTACTGAAGAGCTTTGCATTAGTGCAGGTGCCTGTTGTTTATAGAATCAACTTATCTCTCAACAGTGCTCAATTGAAATATATTTTTCAAGAGCTTAATTGTCATTCGCAGACAGTACTGTTTCGCTGTATCACAGCTCCTCAGTGCAACTAGAATCAATTTCTTAGTGTTGTTACAAGACTAAGAAAGATGCCATAGTTTTGGTTATTTCTTTTATTTTCCCCAAGTATTTTCAATCTCATCAAAGATCATCTTCAGGGGTGAATTGCTAAGACAAAAAATTTTTAAAAAATGCAAGCAACACTAAATAAAATTAATTATGAGTATAGCAACAGTGGTTTAAAATTTCTATAAAAGCTATATTTTGGGATGCTCAAATTAAAAAATTTTTTTTTAAATTGCAGGTTGAGTATTTTAAAACATTAATAATAAAAAATATAAATTAAGTTACCTCCCTTAGATATTCTTAACAGTTAATTTTTAAATTGACTATAACGGAGTGCATTTCATATGCATTTGCATAAAAAAATTCACAAGCATCAATATTTTTTTTATCTTAGAAAATTACCCCTGAAGATAATCTTAGATGAGATTGAAAGTACTTGGGGAAAATAAAAGAAATAACTAAAACTATGATGTCTTTCTTAATCGGTTTTGTAACAACACTAAGAAATTGATCTGTGAATGTGAAAGGATTAAAATGAACATATGCCCAGATTACTCACCCAAACATGCTTGTATATATATATATATATATATATATATATATATATATATATTCCTCTCACATGTAAACTTTTTTATGAGACAGTTTAATAAAATATAAAACAAATTTCTTTAATATCTTCACTCCCCTTTTTTACCATTGGCAAAGATTCTGATGAATGATTTTGATAATTCTTCTAAAAATAATACAATATCTGAAACAGTAAAATTTATAAGATTATCTTCAGATCAATGTCGTATAGCATTATACTGAAAGTTTACATATTTTATCAACCAACTTTAATTTGACCCCTTGAATCTAATGTTCTATCCTACCTGCTGCTGTCACACTTCATGACTTAAGTTACTATGACTTAATTTATTATGGCTTCTCTTTTTTCTAAGTGTTCATTCATGGCTGTTATCCCATGAGACCTGGAACTAATGTACTATTCTAAATAGGAGAATTTTGTCATGCTTGACTTAATTTACTATATTAGGAAATATCTCAGTAGACTAAGAGATACTAGTAGGTATTGTGACTTTAATGAACTTGGACTAAAAAATTAATAAAAGTGATAAAAAGATGGAATGACAACAGAGGAGGAATTGATTCAGCTTTGACTGGTGGAAGGATTATACGATACATTTTATGCAAAGACTTAAAACTTTGGAGAGGTTTGCAATCCAATAATATGAATTTTGGAGAAATGATTGTGTATTGAATTTATACAGCAGGTTGAGTTATTCAGTACATTTGAAAATTGAAAATAAAATTTAAATAAAATAAAAAAACAAGAAGAAATGATGGAAAAATATGTGCCATTAAAAAAAACAAAATCAAAATGCAAGTATTGCAGTTTATGAACATGATGCCAAAAAAGAGAAAAATGTCCCGCATGGGGAAAAGATATGTGATAATTGTAGAAAAAAAAAAAAAAAAAAATCATTTTGAAAAAGTGAGGAGGTGTGTAAATGGCAAAGCAACAATGTAAAAATGTGGAAATAGTACAGGACGGAAAAAAAAATCAAACGGATGTTTTTACGATAGAAAAAGAAAAAACAAAAGGAATACGTTCAAGAGGATTATATAAAGTTGAATGGTATAAATTTAAAGATGCAAGTCGACACAGGAAGGAGGTAACTCTCATTCCTAGAAATTTTCCCACATGGGGGGAAAAAATTAAGGAGACATTTTAAAGTTAAGAAGAAGCCTAGTAAAACTAAAACAATTCGATGGAATCTGTATCAAAACGTTAGGTTCCTTTCAAGGGACATTTGAAACAGCAACGAGATTTGAAATCAATCACCATCATAGTAGTGGATTGTATAAAAAGTCATGGCCTAATAGGTACTGACTTAGTAAGTGTTGATAGTACACAATTACTGAATGCGGTCAATGTTAGAAGTTTTGAGACAGAAACATTAAAAAATTATAAAGCAAGCATTAAGCTAAAAAAATAATGTTACGCCGTCATATTTTCAAAGTCGTAGGCTTCCCATACATATAAAACCGATGGTGATTGAGAAGCTGAACAAAATGGTAGAAGAAGGAATACTTCAACATGTTGAACCAGGAGGCAGTAAATGGGCATCCCCTATTGTTGTCGTAAGGAAACCTAATGGTGATGTTAGGGTTTGTGGTGATTACAAAGGTAGGTGTGAATCACAAAATTTGTTCAGATTCATATCCTATTCCAAATGTAGAAAACATATTGCATTCCTTTGCAGGAATGAAATATTTTGCTAAAATCGATTTAAAAAATGCATACAACCAAATCCAAATAGACGACGAATTCAAAGAAATTATGACAATAAACTTGCCCATAGGCTTATTGAGGTGGACTCGCTTACCATTTGGAGTTAAGACAGCTAGTTTGATTTTTCAGAGAGCCATGGAAAATCTACTAGAAGGAAAAGTAAAATATATAATAATATACCAGGATTATATTAGGCTAGGCACCTGTACTGATTAAAACAGAAAACTAAAATGGTAGTGAGTATACTCAGAAATGCAAGAATGACTTTAAATGAGGATAAATGTATATCAAGTGCAAAAAATTAACATTTTTGGGATATCAAATCTCAGAGGAGGGTACTTCACTAGATTCAAAGTTGATACAGAAAATATTGAATGTTTCGCCTCCAAATAATAAGAAAGAGTTGGAATCATTTCTTGGATTAGCTAATTTATATGGCAAGTTCTTATCTAAATATTCAGAAAAAATTGAGCCCTTTGCTGATTTACAAAAAAAAAAAATGAGGAGTTTCAGTGGACTAATATTCACCAAAAAGCCTTTGTTAAATTGAAGTTAGTTTTATTCAAGAAACCGGTTAAGATTTTTGACCCTAAAAAAGAAGTTGCGTTAACAACAGATGTGAGTGGACAGTCTGTATCAGCAATTTTATCACAGGAAGGACACCCAGTGATGTATCTTTCCAGGAAGTTAACGCCAGCCAAAAAGAACTATTCAAATATTGAAAAGGAAGCATTGGCTATAGTATGGAGCATGACCAGAGCAAGAGAATTTTTGTTAGGAAAAAAGTTTTTGCTCAGATTGGATTGTAAACTGCTAGAATTTATATTCTATCCCAGAAAAGAATTGCTAAAGGTCACATCGTCAAGGATACTAAGATGGGCAATGAAGTTGATGGCCTTTGACTATGAAATAGAATATGTGAAAGGAAACATGATCTCACACGTAGATGCACTATCACAACTACAGTTTGAGGAGGAACAACACAAGAAAAATGAGAAAGTGGAAGATGAAATTTTACATTGGGTGGAGACTGATGTACTGCCTATTAATAGATTCATGATGGAGACTCTACAAGATACAGTATTGAATAGGATCATAGAGAGAATAAGGAACAACAAATGGAGTAATTGTTATAAAGCAGAAAGACTACAAAGAGATCAGACATAAATTGACAATAGAGAATGACAGTTTGCAATGGATATCTGGTTGGTTCCACCAGAAAATTGTAGAAGACAATCAAAAGCGTGCATGATGATGTTCATTGCGGAATAGCTGCTACACAAAACATCTAAAATTGGAAGCCTGGTGGTCTGGTCACACTCATGACATGGAGACATATGTGAATAAATGTCCTAAATGTGTGGAGAACAAAAAATTTTTTTCGACAGAACAAGACACATTCATGGCCAAAGGAAACTGAACCATGGTCCAGGGTGGACATGGACCATGCACATGTGAATGGTATAGGATTGTGTCTGATATTGGTGGATGCGTTTTGGCATGGTTATTAAAAGTTTTTTAGGGTTCAGGATAGAAAATCAGATACAGTACAACAAATTTTACAAATAGTCTTTGCCAGGAATGGCGTACCAAGGACATTGGTAACAGATAATGCTCCAGAGTTTTGTGATGAAAACTTGTGTTCATGGTTAAGAAACATTGGATGCATACCGTCAAAAACCCCTCCTTATCATCTGCAATCAAATGGAATAGTGGAGCGAATGGTGCAAACCATAAAATGGGATTAATGGGCGTTCTCTCCCCACAGCATGAAAGAATCAAAAATTTTCTACCAAGATTAAAAAATTATTAAGTTATCAGTTGAAATACCTCATGCTGGAAAAGATTACAAAGTCCAAGGTGTTAATGGGAAGACAAATTAGAGCACCATTAACAATGTCATGAACTTCAATGAATGAGAAGATATGGTACAAGAGAAATGGAGAAGAGGGGCCAGAAAAAGTAAGATTTGTAATGCAGAAGGGACAGAATACAGCATTGGTTTCCAAGAATGGTAGAGGTCTGATTGAGTGCATGTGTCTTTGCTTTGTTTTGACCAAACTAAGATTGTGCTTTAAAAAACCATGAAGACTCAGAAACTGAAGATACTGAGGGAGTTAAATGAGGATAGAGAAGAACAAGATAATAGATCAGTTAAAGAAAATTTCAAATGTAAAATTGGTCCCTCTATATCTTGATGTACAATATCTTTTGATTGTTCATTATTTTTTATTCAATAAAACAAATTGCATTAGTTTTTGGTTTATCCTGGTATTTAAAAGCAAAATAAATTTCATGTCTAGTCTTGAAATTAACTGGATACTGACTCCATTTTATTTCTATCCAGGGAATTATCCATCGAGATTTGAAACCAGGGAACATTTTTTTGGATTCTAATGACCATATAAAAATAGGAGATTTTGGTTTGGCAACAATACATAAACCAAAGGTAAGCTTTTATTTAACTGTGTAATCTTTTTTCTTTTTTAATATATATATTCATGGGTTCATTATGGAAGTTATTTCTAATTTTGCCTATTATGTCTATGTGTATCTTATTTATATTCTGAGATCAATTTCTGTATCAATTTAAATGTTTAAAAATTACCAGGTAAGCAAATATGTACATATATGACACAGTTCCATAAAATAATATTTTTGTAGGTATAATAAAATTTTAACATGGTAAAGAAAAAGAAAACAAATATTTTGGTAAATATTTACTCCCCATGCATTGCATCCAACAAAATATTTCAAATAAAACCCAAATAATGAAACAGATTTTAGCAAGGGCAAATTTATTGGCACATTTTATTAATAGTCAATAGTACCTATATCTATAATTCTCAAAATGTGTGTGTGTGTGATCAGATGTTGTTTATGCGTTTCTACAGTTTTCATCTGATTTCGATGAAATTTTATTTGTTTGATAGATAATTCTTCAGTGCTGGTTTTGAGTCCAAATTGTCTGGAAAAAATTACGACCTTGAAGGTGAAAAATCGGAGAAAAAAAAAAAGATTTTTACACTTTGCACAAAAATCAAAGGCAAAATTTAATGTCTGTAAACCCCCCCAAAAAAAAACCCCCCAAAAAACGTATAATCAATTCAGAGAGTTGAAATCTAATGCAAAAGATGAGTAATGAGGAGACGGTCGTGTAGCATTTGCAGGAGGTGTTCAATGCACAGCTGTACAAGGCAACAGGCATGCAAAATAACATTTTTTTGGAGTGGGGAGGTGATGATGCCTCAAGTAAGATAACTTTTGTCAGGGATATCCTATTTTCATCATTTTTCCTGTGAAACAACCGCTCAATTGTAATGAACCTAAAATAAGTTTTACAGGTGCAAGACATTTAGGCACCATTCTGCCTGCATACAAGTAAACCCACTCATTCTGCAACTCTGTGTGTCCATTTACCAAGTTTTGTTTGTTCATGTTCTCTGTTTCATTTGCTTAATACATTTCCTAATATTACTTTTTCACACATAACCTTACAATCCTAGCTCATGCTGTGTCGGCGTGATTCACACCTCCACACGTTGCCCATCAGTTGCTGCTGACCTTGATAATTAGCATGTGCAACAACATGTGTACGTGTGGCCCTGCATCACTTGCTGTGTTACGTGCTGACACACATGCATATGCATGACCTGCAGAATGCAACACCTGTTTGAGTTACCCATTGGCTGCACAAAGCCCCTTTACACTTCCAATCAAATGTCACTGTGTCATACTGATTGTCTACACAGTCCTAAGCTCATTGCTACCGCTTAATTCCACAATTCTGCTTCTACTTTTGTATGTCCAGCTCTGCTTACACATTCCCTTCTCTTGGCCAAGCGTTCAATCTACCTAAAGTGAGGTTTCCTTTTCCATTACACTTTTAAGGCATTGCTTTCATTGTCGTTTATAGCCATTCACAATTTAAATTTTTTATTGTTCTGCCAGTTTTTGCATTGCATTCACTGTAGTAATAAGTAAGCTTGCTTTTTTTAACAATAGAAAATGCATCTACATCCTGAAGAAATATTCTTCCCTCCCCCCAATTCTCTCCTTCCGCTATAACAGTCTATGGAAGAGATTCCTTGCAAGATTGAGAATGCAAAAACAGCTCTTTTCAGGACTACTTCCCCATTCAAATTGTTAACCCCTGATTCCATTTGGAGATGTGCCTCAGTTGCACCCAATTGTTGTTACTAATATTGATTTTCGGTTGGGCTGACTATAAACTTAAACTGCTCCAATTGAATGGCAAAAATTCCCAGTAATGAAACACCCAGTTGAAGACAGGTTATACTGCTTGTATTTTTTTTTTAAAGTGATAACTTACAAGAAAAGAAAGTTTTTCACCAAGTTGGTACATTTATCTTCACTTATTTTCTTCCACTTCTCTAATTCTTTGAGATTGTAAGGATTCCTTTGCCTTACCATCACCTTCAATTGTCTCTACAATTTTTCTATTGCATTAAGGTATGGGTTTTCAGCAGGCCACAGTAAAAGATTAATCTTATTTGTCTTTAATCATGTTTTCATGGTTGGAGACATTTAAAATATGGTTAGGATATTTGCAGGGAAAATATTAAAGTATGCTAAGTATCATTCTACTGCATGAAGATCTAACAATGTCCTTCAAGTTGTGGATTAAAATATCAATGTGTTGCTCCTTTCAAATGATGCTATCAACTTTAACTAAATTCCCAGCACTTCTTATTGCAAGACAATCATAGAATATCAAAATATCAAACTACCACCTCTAAGCTTCACTTCAGTGACAGTATTCAAACATATAACATGTTATGATCAAATAACTTTATTTTTGTTTCATGAAACCATAGTATTCTCTCAAAATTGATTATTCTTCTCAATATGATCTTTAGCAAACTTTAAACATGCTTTTAAATGTTGAGGATTTTATAGGATAAAATGCTTTCAACACTTCTATTTCAAGAATCCTTATCACCATGTAGAATTACTAACTACTAAGCAATTCAAAATACCTCCTTGTATAAATCGGTTAAAACTGTTTTAGTATAGGCAGCATGAGGAGTAGTTTTGCATGACACTACAAGTTGCTACAAAACCAAAAGATCAAACTAAAAACTTTAGTTATATTCTTATCTAGTCTTGTCAGATCAAGATTATCATGCATGGCACCAAACTTATTCAGAAATATCTAAACTGTTGTATACAACTACTTCCTCAAATCAGAGGGGAGTTGAGTGAATTGAAGCCTGTAGATCTTAGTGGGGAACATTGTACTGGCACTACAAAATCTTTACCAAATAAGAGAAACCCCATCATTTTGTAAAATAACGACAACAATGGTAGTAGTAATTCTGAATTACTTTAGTCTTGTACCAGTGAGATAAATACAAAAATACAATCTCTGGCCATGTAGCTGTTACCGGTGGGGGTAATGTCTTATAGTGTCTGCCTGATGAAGACCCCCATTATCTAATGGGACCTTCCATTTCTACTCTGTACACTTGAGGACAAACAGCAACAACTAAAATAAATCTCACATGTAACTCAAATAGAAAAATAACATAATCAAGATGTTGATGTTCCACACTACTTCAAACAATAGGTTAGGAAGGAAACTCCCATTAATACTGGAAACAGCAAGAACAATAACTGGATTTGAGAAATTAATTTACTTGGAAAATTGTCTTAATAGAAAGATTTCATAGATCTCAATAGTAGCATTGGCTGATAGGTCAATGAATGCTGTATATTTCCTTTTAAGGAAATGGCTACTATTACCATTTGCTTAAACTATTTCATGTACATCTGTTAATCCATTGATGGTTACTCCAGGGTTATGCAATCCTCATTGTTCTCCTCTATTTGTAAATATTAATTTCTAGTATTTTCCATGTTAACTTTAATACCAGTCTCTAAACTCTTCATCAGTCTTGTACATTTGATTTAGGAAGATGATACTTACCGACAATCTTGTTACCTCTAACATTATGACACCTGTTATTGTTGACATTGTGGCACCTGTCACTATTGATACTGTGATGTTGGTTACCAAGTAATAAGTGTCACAATGTCAGAGCTAATGAATTCCACACTGTTACCTATGACATTGTGACACTTGTTATATTTATTAGAGACAAATCTGAATTGATGATAAATTCTTGTTCTTTGAAGCCAAAAGTGTTTTGCAAAGGATTTTCTACAATAGAATCTTTATAAAAAAAATTTAAATTACACAGACCAAATTCATTTTTTCTTTTTTTTGTGCAAAATATAAAAACTTAAGTCTCTACAAAATCTAAATTATTGTGCCAAACAAAACTCTAGTTAGTAGGAATAGAATGTTGCATAAGGTGTAATTAACAAACAAGACTTAACCACTGTATAAAATTTTAAAAGACAAACATTTACCACAGAAAAAGAAAAAATACAAATATAAAATGTTTACATATAAGACTCTTGCAGAAAAATCTTTGTGTGCCTTCTGTTAATACTTCCAACATATGGCAAAAAAGAATTAAAAATGAATAATAAAAAAAACAAAAAGGAAAACCTATGAGGAAGTAAAAATTGTACAAAGTAAAAAATATAAAAGTGCACCCAACTAATTTCTTCAAATGAATACTGAATAGGGATATCTCTGCACAGGTTGCTGTCTTTACTAGAAAAGTTCAACTTGAGTGTTTTGTTCAAATTTTTATTTTTCACTGAAAAAAAAAATTCTATCCTGGGACTTTTATCTACAATCCAGTTGAGATTTAGCTGTTGGCTTTTCTTTATTTCTTCATGATGATTTATGACCCCTTTGGCTGGACTAATCCTCCATCCTTAAAGTGTGGGCATTTCAATGCCTTCTCCTTGATGATTAATTGCTTTCTGAAGCCATCTATTAACCGCAGTCTCTTTATTCAAGAAAGGAAGATCACACCAGCCTCCTTCTAGATTTTCACAAGGACTTGAAGTCACGTCTCGCATTGGTCAGTAAATATGAACACTTATTTTTTTCATGAATTCAAAAAATGAATCTGCAACAATTCACAAAGAAATAATTTTGGCGGTACTAAAATAGATTTTCACACAAATATAACAGTTTTTTTACAACCCATCTGGAATAAAAATGCACTTTCTCAAAGGTACAGGTTAAAAGAAAAAAAAACTAGACTGTTAAACATTATTACACCAAAGAATAATAGTAATATAAAATTTTCATATCTTCTTGAGGCTGTATATTAAAAAGTTTTTCATAAATACATGACTTTCCATGTTTTAAAATGAGAAAATTATAACTCTGCCAATAATTTTGCTATTATTAAATTTTTTGTTTGATTATTAAATAAATTATTGGATTTAAATAATTATCCAAATATTTTTTGGAGCCAATGCAATGAGTAAATTTATCAAAATATTGTTTCTTCATTTTATTTACCATGTTAAATTTTATATACTATCCTGGAGATATATATATATATATATATATCTCCAGGATAGTGTGCATAGATGTAAGTGAACACTGGGGTGTTTCATGCTTGAATGCAATCTTCAGGCCTGAAAAATACATAAAACACTGTAGCCACACAGTGTTGATCTCAGTGTCTACTCATATAATTCATGGAAATCTAGCATCTTGGAAGGGTTGAAGATGTTTCAACAATCTACAATCTCAAGAGCAATCAACAAGCAGATAGCCAGAAAGGAATAAGCCATTAAGAAAAATATCTGCATTTGTTTGTCTCAAACAGGCTTCATTAATCATATGAAGCTTCATGCAGTGAGACACAGCTATAATCACTAAGTTTGTCAGGTTAGCTGCACAAACTGCTGTGTTCCAGTTAATCTGGAATGAGCAGACACTTGAAAATTCATAACTAGTGAAACCAGGATGCAAAAACTCCCCAATGATCTAAATCTGCACTCTGGAATAAATCTTGCAAATCATTTACTGGCTTCAAAAGTCAACAAATGATTTGCAAGATTTATTTAATTTTAAGGTGTTTTTATTAAAGATCTTGCTAGGTCTGCTATCAGAAGGAAAGTGTTTTTCAATTAAAGCTAGGAATTTTTGCCCTAGCTTAATACTAACCATTTGGCTGAACAGAGGCGTATACCAAATGATTTTTCTTTTCCTGTGTTTCTTCTGGTTAGTACTATTGTTTCTACAATTGATGTTAGCGTTTTTGTATCCACTATTTTTTTTTAGTTGTAAAAATTACTGTGTTGTTGGAAGGTATTCTTTTCTCTATTGATAAGGGTAATGGCTTAATTGTAGATGGGTGGTTTGACCTAGGGTGTTCATACAAGTGGTTAGTGTTAGGTTTTCTGTAAGGTAAGTATATATTGTTCATTACGTCAAGGAAGTTTACCGTTTTCAATTTTGTATGACTGTAGTTTTTAAATTTAGTTTTCTGAATTCACTATATATTGTCTTTCTAATTTTATCTATTTAAAAATTTGTGGAACTCCTCACTACCTTGAGCCCATCATCCCTGTATAGCCCAATGTCCTTAATGTCTAATTTACGGTGCATGTTAGGTTGTATAGTATAAATAGACTGACAGTCAGAAGACTCTGCAGAGTCTAAAGATCCCATGGTGATGTCAAAATTGTCTTCAGTGTTTTTAATCCATTGGTTCTCATTATGAATGAGGACAGATTTTTTTGCACTAAGAATTATGCTCATTTCTTCTTCTGTTAGGTCTGAATATACAGTAGCAAACTCAAGGGCAGTTGTGAATAGATCTCTTGATATTTCCATAAAATTGAACTGTATTAGGGTTCAATCAGGCTTGTTTCTGATACTGGTAAACCAATTGATGACTTCTTAATACCAAAGAAGTCATCAATTGTTTATATATATATATATATATATATATATATATATATATATATAGATCCAAATGTTTATCTGCCAAGAGTGTGGACAAGTCTGTCAAATGCAGTCTTACCTAGCCAACAGTGTAGCCATAGTTATAAACCACTAATCAATTATTGCTAAACCTGTTTACATTGAGTCTTTTTGAACTTCTAATTATCCTGCCACCAAATTCACAAACTTTTTTTTTTTAAATTCTCTGGACTAATGTCCAATAGACAATAATCTAGCAGGGATATAATCCTTATATAATTTCATGTTAAAGGTATCTGTTTGTGTTTATGTCTGAGAAATTTTCCAATTTTATTACTAATAATTTTCCAATTTTATTACTAATAAGAATTTTTTTCACCAAAACAAATATGCATTGGTTTTAAATTAAAGAAAACTTGATATGTTATTTTTTTATCTTTTGTTATAAATATCTTAATATAACATTTTAATCTTGACATCTTTTTAATATATATCACAGCCACAACAAACTGTTACTTTGTCAGAGGCAGATACATTCCAAAATGATTTTTGTTTGATGTCCAGCTTGACCACAGATATTGGTACATATTTTTACAAGAGTCCAGAAGTTTCATCATCTTCTGGGCATTATGACCAGGTTTGTATTTCTATTTTTACTCTCAAGAGAAAAAAAAAACAGTGAGCATTAAATCTCTTTATTTCAAAAGAACTTGAATTTTCCATTGTCACATAATAAAAAATTCATCATAAATCAATTTACTTTTAAGTGCATTGTATAAAAAATAAAATATAAAAATATTAAATTTCCTTTCTATTTTTTCTGTTTTTATTTCCTCTCTAACACCATTTTTGGTTTACCTAATATTTTTACATTTCATATTTACTTTTTTCTTCTTTCCTATTTTTTCTTTTATTCATCATTTTTAGCAAGTTGACATGTACAGTCTGGGCATTATTTTTTTTGAAATGTGCTACATTCGAATGGAAACTGGCATGGAACGCTGTACAGTGCTGACAAACCTACGCAAGAAAGATATTATTTTTCCAGATAATTTTGGAGCCGAATTAGAAAATCAGGTGACTTTTAGTTATACAATTTAATTTTACAAAGTGGAAAAGTTTACTTTTGATGCCTTTTTGTCTTTCAGGATTTCATTGTACTAAATTTATGTTGGTAGGAGAATGCATGAGCACAAAAGAGGGGTGCTGGGAATTTTAGAATTTTTTTTTTTTTTTATATTATCTAGCTGAATTCATTTAGTCTTTTTCTTTCCATCATTTTTGTAAGTTGGTATTCGACACTGATATTAGATCTACCAAGAATGACACACACACACACACACACACACAAGCTTAAAAGCTAGCTCTTGTGGAAGGCTCTTGATTGGAAATTCAGCTCAACAATGACACTTCATACATTGAGTACATATTAAATTTTATTAAACTTATTGCAAAGCTGCATGATAACAGATTTAAGGTAACAGATGTAATAAAAAAAAAAGTTTTTACCAAGATTTTCTAAAAAAAAAAATATAAAAAGTTTCTAAAAATCTCATTGATTTGTGAATAAATCATAAAAGTCTAATTAAAATCTAAATATTAGTTGATTTTTCCAAGAATATCCAAATTAGTATATTCTTCCCCACAAAAGACGATAAAATTTTGTATACTAATTTATGGTCACACTTCTAAGACAAGAAAAAACATTTTAATCAAATTTTCAAACATTCTAAAAAGGATGACAAAATAATACTTTTCTGTTAATAATAGCATTTTTTTCTCATGTATGCTCAGTTTTAAGTGGATCTTTTGGGGGTACCTATAATATATATATATATATATATATATATATATATATATATATATGAAATGGACTAAGTCTGACATTTTAATATATTTTCTGTTTATACATTATTTTTACCGATACAAGTGTATTTAAGTAAATGCTCTGTTTATAATAAACAGCATTTACTGTCCTGAATGTCTGATAAATTTCATAGAAAATGTGTTCTCTGACAGGAATCAAGCCTGTGGCCTACATGAAAATTTGTAGTTTAAAAACAGTAATTTGATCTTGCTAACCTGATGCTTCCTCTGTAGATAAATGTTATAGCATGTCAGGCTATATGACAGTTCCTTGTGTGTGTGTATATAATATATATATATATATATATATATTCATTGATGCATGTTTCATTAAATAATATAGACAAGTTTTGCCTATTTATTTTAAGTAAATTCCTTTCATATTGCCTGATAAGCTTAATAATATTATCATTAAAAGATGAAAGAAAATCACCATATTGATACATGTTTTTTAATCCTATCTAAGCTTTCGGCTTACATAAGCCATTATCAAAGATGACAATTACAATTCAATATATTAAACAATACATGGACAAAACAATAATGATAGTCTGTTTTTGTTGCATGAAAGATTTCAAAGCAATGACAAACTTGTGTATTTAATACAGTTAATATAGGAGGTTATGTTTAGAAGTAATGATCTTTATTATTATCAGTGTTAATTTTAATCTATTTTTTATTTACTTGATCAGAAGCAGATAATTCAGATACTGTTGAATCATGAACCTAAATGCCGTCCAACAAGCAAAGAACTGTTGCAGTCTAATCTACTTCCTCTTGTTGAAATAGAAGCCAAAACCAATATGATCTTGTCATCTGCAATATCTAATTCAAAAAGCAAAACATATAAATACATGGTCGAATCTTTCTTTAAGCAAAAATATGATGAAGTCTGTGATATAATGTATGATGATGAAGTATTCAAGGTAAGTAAATAAATATGCTTCTAAAAGTGAAATGTTGATTTTTACAAAATTCTATTCTTATAGACTCTGGTTATAAATGAATGATTTGCACAGAAGTATTCTGGACGTTGGTACATGGAATTAAACAAAATTGTGATGTTTTTATCATATAAGATGTGGGTGTTGAAGAAAGCATTTTAGTTAAAAAATTGTAGTTCTAACAGGGTACGAAACATCACTTTAAACCATTGATAACCTAGAAAAATTAATATAGGTAATTTTACCAAATTTCTTCTCTTGCATGTTTTACCTGTGGAACTCTCTTACTGCTTCTTACTTCCTTACAACTACAATCATCAAAAACTTTGTAGTGATACTAGAAAATTAGTATGCATAATTTGCATATGCAGAAGTGAACATTCTTTATAAGTGGTCACTGAGAGTAACCACTAGTAGTAGTAAGAGTCTAGCGACTGATTAGTGCTAACCTCTACTTAACAACAATAGCGTCACCAATAGGATTTCAATTGTCTCTGGAAGATCCAGAATTTGTCGAGACTTGATTCGTTATTTTCTGCCAATTGCGAGAACAAAAAAGTTGAAAGACAACAAGGAAAAGGGGAGGCGAAATGAAATCACGGATTTATTTTTGGCTACAGCTGGATGCGAAGGCGGTAATGAAAGTCTAAACCATGGCATATCCCTTAAAATTAAAAAGACCTGACTTTCAAAAAATAAGTCAGATTATAAAAAAAAATATGAGACCCAAGAAAAGGCTGGTAGTGGTAGAAAGAACAAAATTCATGTCAAAATAAACAGGAAATTGACAAACCAATTATAAAATATTTACACCGTCTATTTAAATGCAAGTAGATATTGTGAATTTGAGAAACTTGGACAAGACGAACAGACCATTGAAGAGGACTTGATTCCAATTAAGACTAATTGAAGGTATGTCCAATGCGTCACATTTCGATATAAAATATTGGAACAGTTACAAATAGGAAATATATTTTTAAATGCTTGTATTAAATTTATGCAGCAACAAGAGCTAATACAGACATACTACCATTATAAAAGTCAACCCAACCAAACAAAGATTCACTGATTCATACATTTTGATTAAACAAGATAAAAAGTGTTTGTATTGTGGATGTGAACACAAAATGAAAATTTTAAAAAATGTTCAGCATTTGGGAAAAACTTGTAATAATTAAAAGAAAAAAAAGAACCACTTTCAAGCAGTGTGTAAATTAAAAAAAAAAAAAAGTTGAAAGAGTTGAAGAAAATGACACCGATAGAAGTTTTTACTGTAAAAAAAATAAAACTATTGCACAGAAGAAAAAATGACATTATAGCAAAAGGTTAAAATTAATAACTGCAATTTAGATATGCAAATGGATACTGGGAGTAAAGTAACACTGATACCAAAAAGTTTTTGGAACACATTGGTAAGCCACCTTTATGAAAAAGCAATTTACAACTCTGCCAGTTTGATGGGTCTGTTATAAAATATTAGGATACTTTGAAGGTTCATTGGAGTTAAAAGAAAAATTTGAAGTAATTCCTGTAATTGTTACAAGTTTCAAGAGGAAAAACCATGGCAGTTTATTGGAAATGATCAATTTAATATGAATTCTACTAAGATAATTAATGAAATAAAAAAAAAAAACTGGAAAGTTAAAAAACTATGAAGCAAGTAAATTTAAAAAGAAAATGTTTTCCCCCTCTTATTATGAGGCATGAAAATTACCAGTACATTTGCCGTTAGTAGTGACAAAACTACGTAAACTATAGAACAAGACCAAATGAAAGAAAATGTTCCGCCTGGAGGTAGCAAGTGGGCATCACTGATTGTGGTTTTGAGGAAAACAGATGGTGATTTACGTATTTGTGGAATTATAAAATAGGAGTAAAAATCACAAGATCCATTTCAGATTCATATATATACCCAATGTGGAACTTGCATTACATTTTTTTGGCAGGGATGTCCGTTTTTAAAAAAATAGATTTAAAAAATGGCATACCACTAAATACCAATAGACGAAAATTTCAAAGAAGTAACCACGATAAATACGCCAATAGGGTTACTAAGATGGAAAGAATGCCATATGGATGAAAAACTGCAATTGCCATATTTCAAAGGGCCATTGAACAGGTTTTAAGAAAGGTACAAAATATGGTTTGTTACCAAACGACATGTGCATATGAGCTACTAATGAAAAGGAATTAAAAAAAAAAACTGATTTAGTCTTGAATAGATTATTAAATGCTGGAATGTTGATAAATGAAAAAAAAAATTTATAAAATTTAACAAAATATCTTTTTAGGTTATTCATTTCAAAAGAAGGTATATCACCTGACCAAGCATTGATAGAAAAAATATTAAAAGTAGCTACACCTTCAAATAAAAAAGAATTGAGTTTTTTGGGATTGAAAAATTTTACAGGCGATATTTACCAAAATACACGGATTATTTTGACGTAAAAGTTTGCAAATTTAATAAAAAAAGAATGTAGAATTTATCTGGTCATATTAACAGCAGAAAACTTTTGAAACATTAAAAGAAATAATGTCAAAGAAACCTGTATAAAAAATAATTTTGATCCAAAAAAGGACATAACACTCACTACAATGCAAGTGAACATTCAATATCGGGAATATTATATAAAAGAAGGACATCTGATAATGTATTTATGAAGAAGATTAAATAACATATGAATTTAATTATTGAAATAGAGAAAGAAGTATTTGATTGTGTGGACAACTATCAGAGCCCACAATTTTTTAATTGGAAAAAATTTCTATTAAGAATTGATCATAGAAAATTAAATTTTTATATTTATCAATCAAGAAAAGAATTATTATTTAATGTTTATGTTTACATAAAGGATTTTACAATGAATGATAAGATTGATGAAATTACTTTTGATATGGATTTATGTCATAAGGAAATAAATTCCATATTTGTAGATCATGAAAAATTTATCAAGGTTGAAATTATTTTAAAAGGAGTGTATATTCAAAATGAAGGAAAAATGGAGGAAGAATTTTGAAGATAAATCTTATGTGGCACCTTGCATTATTAGAAATATTCATAGAAATATGATTTAATTTTTTTTTTACTCGGTTTACTAAACAGGTTGTTAATTTTTTTTTTTAAACGGAAAATAACTGAGTTGAAAATAATTCACTAAGATTGTACTAGACGATCCTAAGGAAAGAAGAAGGAAAGAAAGGAAAAAGGAAGGAAGGAAAAAAAAGAAAGAAAGAGAAATGTATGACGCATGACCCAATTGAGGGTGGAGATAGGATTTCAGAAAGAAGATTTAGGTCAATCAAGAAAGTCTTGAATGACCCGATTTTGAAAGTCATTTTGGTAAGAATGTCGGTCAGAGCACCTAGCCTACTTTTTGCATGGAAAGACACCTTATCAATTTGGATAAAGAGAAATTTTTGGGAACAATGAAACAATTTTTAATCAGGGAAAAAGTGTGTTTTTGGGTTGGGGGAGTGACCGGTGGAACGATATACAGACCTGTTAAGAATTGGACACCCACGTTAATAAAGTAGAGACATTTCAATGTAGATAATTAAGATTTTCGACTATCAGGTAAAACAAAGAGGTAAAAAAAAGGGACAATTGCTTTTGGCTCACAGAGGGCGCCAAGAAGGCGGAAAAGATCCTTTCTAAAGTCAAGACTAATTAGCAGCGGGCTGTTTAACAAAGTCCAGGTGAGAGAAAGCCAAAGATTGTCATTTTTCGTACGTGCAAAAAGGGCAAAATTGGATTTTGTTTTTTTTAAACAAGAACGATGTAACCACGCCCGCAAACAGAGGGGAGAGGATGTTCGATCAATAACAATTGGTCGAATACGATCACGTGACCTGCGGAAGAAAAGGGAAAGAAATGTTTGATCAATAACAATTGGTCGAATACGATCACGTGACCTGCGGAAAAAAAAGGAAAGAAATGCTCGATCAGGAACGATTGGTTGAAAAGCGGTCACCTGACATACGAGAGACTAAGAGAGATGGATGTGCGCCGCCCCACCAAAGGTACTGCGAGGAAGTAGGGGTGAAAAACAATAGCGATAATGGAGAAGACAGAATTAATGCAGTTTTGGAATTATCGAGAAAACCCTGACGCCGACAGACCCACCCCAGTTTGTTGCGGCGTCAATAAAAGCAGGACCCCAGTCGACAAAAATGGAGAGTTGGAGGGAGTTGCAGTTGGACCGCAATAGAGCCTGAAAAATCAGTTCACCGCCCCTTTGCGGGCAGAAGAAAAGACAAGAAAACCTTCCAGACAAGAAGAACTTCCAGCCCAAGTAGATGAAGAAGAAAGATTGCCTGAAAGCCTGAGAAGAATTGGAGCTGCAGACAAGCCGAAAGTCGATGAGAAGTTAAAGTTCAGCTCCGGACGGCAGTGAGAAGAGACCACCTCAGACGACAGAGAGTTGCGGCCAAGTTGAAACAAGAAATCTTCCACCAAGTTGAAAACAGGAAAACTACCAGCCCAAGCAGACGAAGAAGAAGAAATACAACTCAAGTCGAAGAGAAGAATCAACTGCGAATGATCGATAGAAATTAGCCCCAGTGTCGAACTGAACCACACTCCGACATACATACATGATTCTAGAAAGTAGGTAATTCGACATTTTTTCTATTGTGTGATAGAAGCTTGGTGCCATAGTCCACAGAGCGGGTCGGGAAATGAGAACAATTTTGTTTTTATGTAACGGACTTTAAGATATAAAAGGTTGTTACCTTTTTTTATCAGCAATTTTGTTTGGTGTCGTGAGTTTTTATTTTATTTGTGTTTTGCCACCCCGTCGGACTCAACTTGTATCGGCCCCGATCCTGCTGGTCCCGTCTGTCTAAGATCTAAACACAGCGTGGGTAGACAGACCGGAGATCGGTATAGTTGCTTTTAGTGACCAGGTATTGGAAGCGAGTCGGGAAAGGCGAGGCTGGTGATCATCTGACCAAAGGGTTGGAGCGGCACGCTTGGACCCAGGAGGAGCGACCAGGAGGAGCGACGTCACCGTTACGCGCCGTAACCAAAGGATCCGACACTGGGCCAGGTGTGTAACCGTCACACTACACTTGATAGAGACTGATGTTTTGTCTTGGGACAGAATGGCTGTGGAAATGAGACATGATAATTCTAAATAGGATAGTATCAAGAATAAAAAAATTGGGGAAATTTTCTAGGGCGGAAAGACCTTATAAAGAAATGAGGCACAAATTAACAATAGAACATGGAAGTGATATCCCAATGGGGACCTGTAGTTCCCCAGAAACACAAAAAGAACAATAATAATAGAAAGTGTAGCGAACGATATGCTTTTGGAGAAGCAGCACACACAAAAAAAGATAAAATAGAAGTCTTGGTGGCGGGTTATTCAAGAGACGTTGAGGATTATGTAAAGAGATGTAAAAAATGTAAAGAAATAAGAAATTTTACACAAGCTTTTTTACATTCATAACCCCAAAGAAGTTGGAGCCTTCCTTTAGGGTCCATATGGATCATAATCTACTAAATGAAGGAGACAATATTAAATATTATAGATTCTTTTTCAGGTTGGCCTGAAATAATAAGGGTTGCAATAACAAGAAAAGTTCCACTATAAAGCAAATTTTATTTTTCGTTGTTATTCTCTAGAAAGAAGTCCCCAAAAACCCTGGTTTCGGATAATGATAACCAGAATTTTGTGAGGAAGAAATTAAAATTTTGGTTAGAAAAAAATAGGGTGTAAACCATATAAGACACCTCCATATCACCCTCAATCAAATGGACTAGCAGAAAGGATGGTTCAGACCATCGTCACTTATGAAAGCATACCCTCAGCAAAAAAAAAATTCTTTTTATTTTTATACCGAGGATATTTTTGGTTATCGGACCATACCACACGGGAAGATTTGAAAGCCCATCAGCTTTAATGGGGAGACAGATTAGAGCTCCACCTTTATTCAGTACTTCTTTTGAAAAGATGTATAAAAGAGCCAAGGATGCAAATCCAGAATTTCGAGTTTATAATGCAAAAAAGGCCATAATACAGCCATAATAAATAGAGAGAATGGCGATAGTGTGTTGGCTCATGCTGACCAAATAAGAACCCATTTTGAAGAGGAAGAACAAAATGATGAAGAGAAGTCAATTTCATCTGATAACGAGTTGGTAGAACAACCATTACAGAAGGAAACGTCAGGAAACAATGCAGGAGGAAGAGGGACAGAAGGACTCTGAAAGTTCAGATGAAGACCAGAGTATGCAAAAATACACATGTGACTACAGCCTAGACCGGGACAGATGTAGGTCTCCCAGGGAAAGAAATACGGGAGAGAGAGAAATAGAGCAGAGTGAGGAAAATGGCAGAAGAAGGAGTACAAGATCTACGAGAGGAATAAAGCCGTTAAGGTTTAGGGAGATGTAGTGATACTAGCAAATTAGTATGCATAATTTGCATATGCAAAAGTGAACATTCTTATAAGTGGTCACTCAGAGTAATCACTAGTAGTAAGAGTCTAGCGACTGATTAGTGCTAACCTCTACTTAACAACAAACTTAAATATGTCAATCATCATTTTCTGTCTCCTTGAATCCTGTTCTTTTATTTTATTGTGCCTTCTTGATAAGTTTCTTTCTCTCTCAACATTTTAGTGGCTTTATTGTCTTGCTTGAAATGATTAAAAAAAAAAAATATGTAGATTATAGTGTTGATAATAGACAGGAAGGAAATAGCAGAAACTTCTAGAGAAAGCAGTGAAGGAAAACAAGAAGGGACTAAATATCAATTGTAAGAAAATGAAATGTATGGTAACATCAATGAAAAAAAGCCCAAGATGTAAACTACAAAATTGATATGTCAAAATCGACATTCAAATATCTGGCAAGAGGACAGCAAATGTGACACAAATCCAAAAGCAAATTGGAATAGTTGAAGATGCTATAGGAATTAAATCCTATATGTATATATTTTTCAACCAATAGAATCCCACCAGAAGGTTTGTTGGATAAACAATCACTGCTAGGGCAAATAATACCAAAATACTTGGGTGTAGTTGCAGAACTCCTTTCACCATTCCCACAAAATCAAGAAAAAGATTTTTGCAAGATATTGTGAAAACCTTGTATTGAAAATGTTCATACATCTATGTGAAATTAGGTCTTGAATCTCATACATAAAAATAGAAGCAAGGATCAAAATAATTTCAAATCAGTTTGATCTACACGTCATGCCATAATGGAAGAGAGACAACAAGCTGCTGCTGACTAAGGTTTTGTCCATGCACACAATTGAATGGATTAACCAGCTATGTACCTTTTTGTCTATGAACTCACAAACACATTATGATGACCACTGTAAAGTTTGTTCACACATTTCATACCAAACTATGAACACTTAATTACTTTATAAAACAAACTTCACTGCAAGGAAAATTGAACATTTTATTGTTATTGTATATTTCTGAAAATAATCTGTTCCCCAACTGATGTTGTTCTTATACTTTTCCTTCAGAGAATAACCTTTTCTGTTTCATTTAAAAAGATGTTCTGTTTTTAAATGTTTGGAATTTCAACACTTAGATAACAAAAATTCTGGATAGACGAACTCCAACAATGCTTTTAAAAAGCTAAGCAAAGTATTAAGAAAGAAAGAAAATTTCATTAGAAAAGAAGAAAAAAGTGCTGAACCGTTTCCTTTATAAAATGAATGTTGAACAATCTCCTCACATATGAAGATTTGAGGCAGTAGAAATGTGGTTCTACATAAGGATGCTGAGAATATCATAAACTAAATGTAAGAGAGTAACAAGGAAATTTTAAGGAAAATAGAAACAAAAAGGACACTTATACTTTGGGTCAGAAAGAGACAACTTAAATTTCTAGGACACATAATGAGGAAAGAGGGCTTCGATAATTTGATACTCACTGGACAAGACAAGGGATAGTGGAAGACAGATTGACCTACCTAACTTGCTTGTGTAAATGAATGGCAGAACGGAGTGGGAGATATAGTGAAAAGACAAATCTTACTAAGAGCTACAAAGAATAGGAAGTTGTGGAGAGTCATAATCACCCATGTCCTGAATGGCATATAAAAGTAAATTCATATGTAAATAAAAAACTTTTTATCCTAGAAATTCAGACAGAAACAACTGCTCTCATGCTTATAAAATCTGTGATATTATCTTGATATTTACTCAGCATAGGTTAGCCTGGTAAAAGGCTACAAATCTGAGGAATCCAGTGAGGATTGAACATAGCTCATTAACTTTTAGGTAAGAAAATATTTATCAGGCTTAAGGCTACTAGTGTGATGTACCTAATCCAAATTTACAAATCAAATTGTTCTTTGAGAAAATTTTACTTATGTGCTATGGTAGTTGTCCTTGATGCTCTCATGAGTTAAATGCTTTTTTTTTTCTTTTTTTTTTTTTTTTTTTTTTTTGGTGCTGAATGATGGACTCTTCTGTTTGCTATTTAATACAATTTTTTATTTTTATTTCAGCCTTGTAGTGTGAAACATAGTTTATTGCAAAAGAACATCATTGATACCATGACAAAAATATTCTGTCAACATGGAGCAATACGGATAAGTACACCTTTGCTGATGCCAAAGAATGAAATTCATTCTGCCAGGACACCAACATTTATGGATCAGAATGGACAATTAGTTTGCCTTGCTAATAATCTCAAGGTAATAAATTTCTTTTTAAAAAAAAATTTGTTGGGAGTGAGAATCAAATTGAAATTTGCATATTGATAGATTTTTTTTTTTTTTTTTTTAATTTCATATTGAGATTTTGAGTTTTTACCTATGATAATGTTGTATGTTAAATCTTTTATTTTCCTTATCCAGGTTCCTTTAATCCGATATGTAAAACGAAGGAATATACATAATTTAAAACGATATAATATAGATAGAATATTTATTGGGAAAACACATGGGCTCCATCCAAAAGAATTTTTAGAATGCAGTTTTGATATTATCACTCCAATAATTAACAAGTAAGTAATTTTGAAAATGTCCTTCAAATGTTTTTTTTTTTATTTTTAATAATTTTTAGCACCTTTCTCTATAATGTTGGCATGATTTTGTTTTTAAACTTTTAAGTTTTATTAGATAAAATTAAAATATAATGGTAATTGGAAGAACCCTCATTTTTTTTTTTCTTTTTCATTATTTTAAAACTATTTTAGAGTTAAAATAAAAATGGCTTAATTTAATAATCTGATTTATGATAAAATGACTTATATTGAATATGTGAAAATCAGAAGCTTTAAATTTTTAACATTTTGTGCAATTAAAAACTCAATATTTGCAAGGGAAAGGAAGAAAATTTACATGTGCATTAATGTATCGGGTTCAGCAATAGCTGAAGATTTGATTAAAAATAAGCACTGCACTTGGGCTTGTATCCTGGACATCTTTTCAGTGCTGAGTTGAACAAATAACAATTACTACTTGAAGGTTTTGGGATCAGTATATATTAAGTTCTATCAACCATCTCTCTGTATTAGCATTTAGAATTTTTATCAGAACTTTTAGGTTTTATTTATTTTATTCACAGGTATTGATTTTTAATTTTGTTAACTAATGAATGTTTTTAAGAATTTTCAAATTAGCCACAGCATTTCTAAGTAGCCATAATTTTGCCTTAGTTTTTTTTTCAGTCCTGAGGATGTTCTTATTGATTGAAATGTTGACAACAGAATAAAAATTCTAAGCATCTAACTGGTTTTCACATATTCAATCTTACATGTATAAAATACAGAAACTGAATCATGTTTTTTTGTTCTTGAAAACTTCTATTTAAATATGTTGAGCCTTTTTAAGGTAGTTAAAACTTATCTTTAAGACATTTTATAACACATTTTTATTTCAAATTCTAAATTTAATTTTATCTTGCAGTTTATTGCCAGAAAGTGAAATTATTTATCTTATTGAAGAAATTATCAATGAATTTAATGACTTAAAAGTAAGTATCTTGTTCTGACTAATAATCAATATTTAAAAAAAAATTCATCATGCCCCACTTAGAAAACAAACTTTAAAAACAACTAAATCCTAATAAAATTAGATATCAAAACAAGTTTTCTTAAATTGAACCAACAAGGTCTAATTTTTTATTATATTTTTTCAATTTCTAAATGAGATGTTGCATATCAGGATTGAATTTATGAATAAACTGTCCAAAGTTCATTTTTTTCTATGTTTTGTTCAAGTATTTTGATTATCACAGCTATTTGCAAGAACTGGCTGTTACCTGTATGGTAAACAATTTTTTTTTTTTTTTTTTTTGACTAAATCCTGGCATTTAGATCACTGGAATTGGAATCTGTCCAAAGTGACATATGTAACAGTTAAATGGAAAAGCAGACATTGGCTATCAAATAAATTTCCATGCTTGTTAAAGTTTCTCAAAGAGCAAAATATATTGTCATTGCAAGTTTTCCTTGTTTTTTTTTTAATTTTATTTATATTGTCCATACCAATATATTTTATTCATATCTAAATTTTTACACACACACACTTGTATATTCAAACAATTTAGATTTCACCAATAAGGTCTGCCTATTCAACTTTTTATTATCTTTCCAATTTCTGAATATTGGATTGAAGTTATATCCTAATTCATGCCTTTTTTTCTTCAAGTACTATCAACTATCACAATCCTTGTCATGTAAAAAATTTATTTAACTAAATTCTGATGTTTTAGATTGCTGAAATTTAGAATTGGAGTTAGTTTAAAGAGACAATTTGTGATGATTTGGTTTAATGGAAATTCATGTATTAAATAGCAGTGTGTTTTTTTTTTTTCTATACACACTCCAATATATGATTTCCTCTACAGAAAAATATTTTAATCTTGGTTGCTTCTCTTCTTTTATATTATGAAGTTTGAATTTTTCTTTGCATTGAGCTCTGTGTAATATTTTGGCATTATCTACTAAAATCTGTCTTGTATTAATAGTATTTTGGCTGTTTGTGATATACTGGTTATTATTGGCAAAAATTACATTAAAGTGACAAGTTAACCTACAAGAGTGTGGTGCATGTGTAGCCAATGTAAGAATTTAATATTGTTTGTTGATTATTAGTAATGGAGATGCAATCTGCCAAAGGACATGAGAATTAATAAACATTAATTTTACATTGGATTTTTGAAGTACTGCATAATTGGTACTGGAATATAACCCATAAAAAATATGAACTTTGGACAAATTATTTACAACTTCAATTCCTTTGTTCAGATAAAGATATATAAAAAGTTGAATAGACGGAACTTGTCAGTGGAATTTAATAAAACTTTTTCAGATAAATTTTACTGACTAAATATATACATTTATTTATGTGTGTGTATATATATATATATATATATATATATATATATATATATATATATATATATATGAATGATCCTCCTACCTTGGAAGTAAAAGCATCTATCAGCAAGATAGAATTCTAAAGGACTGGAGACATTTGTTCATGATACCTGTTATGTTTTGCATATCTCTCTGCATAGTCATAGTACAGTTCTGTGTCCTCAATAGTAACCAGGTTTGCTAGGCATAGCCACCCTATGTTCACCAGTTGTTCTCTATTTATACTTGTCTATCTAATTTGAATATGATGCTACAATACCATTGTGCAAAGGTATAATAGAGCTTTGTTTGCTTTATCATGATATAGCTTTCCTTTCAGCAGTAATTAAAATCTTAGTAGGGATTTTGCTGTCTCAACTGAAAGCTCATATTGTGGATACTAAACTGCCAGAGTAGCTTTCAGCCTAATATGTGAATGATGGATATGATTTCTAAAGTGGGACAAATTGAAAAGAAGTCACATGAACAACAAAAAGACCTGTTTCAAGTCTTCATAAACCTTACCAAGTCCTTTGACACTGTAAACAGAGAATTCATGTGGAAGATCTTGAGACACTTGGGCTGTCCTCACATTTCATAGATATCAACAAGTCATTCCATGATGACATGGAAATATTGCTTGTTTACTTTCAGAACTTATCAATGTACGAAATGTTGTTAAGAAAGGTGACCTGAAGGGCCTACATTGTTTTCCATGCTTTTAAGGACTGTAACTAGGTTATAGTATATATATGTAGTACAATTGGTAGACTATTCATCATCCAATGCTTCTCTGCTAAATCTAAGACATTCCAACCTCCTGTCCAAGATTTCTGCATGCCAATGATGGTGATTTGGCCACCCAAACAGAACAGGAAATGTAGGTTCTGATGGATAATCTTTCCCATTCCTGCAAAGCTTTCAGTCTCACTATCAATCTGGAAAAGACTATGGTCATGACCCAACCTGCTCCAGGTTCACTTTACACCGAACCATGAATATCTGTAGATGGCTACAAAAGTAATGCGGTAGAGAAATTCATATACATTGGGAACACTATAAACGGACACTACGCTCTTGATCAGATGTTGGTCTCAAGAGTCATCTTAGACTAGAGGCTATGGATTCCAAAACAATATGGAAGCCATTACCTGTGATGTGAAGAGTATGAAGATAGCTCTCATCCAAGCCAGATGTGGCAATCAGTGTGTGTGTATTAGGTAATTAAATGGAAAAATGGAAATTATTCAACTGATATATAGATTTGTGTATCATATCTTCCATCTCGTGTAATGTAGAAATAAAATTTTTAAAAACAAAGTTTTACAATTTGGCAATTTCTTTTCAGGCAAGGAACTTTTCAATTGTCATGAATCATACAAGTATACTTAAAGCTGTTCTTATCTACTGTGGTGTATCAGAAAGCAAACATGAAGAAATATTGCATCTTGTTGAAAGACAGGTATGGATTTTATTATTTTTTTGTGGTCTTAGTTAACAAAAAGCATACTTTATAAAATCAGCATATGAAGAAATTGATAATTTTGTTTATTGACAACTCTTTGCTGATTGGATTTTTTCAACCCAGTTTTTCTCATTGACTCATATAGGTAATAGAAGTAGATAGGTTTGCTTATTGTCCAGTTCATTCTCTTCCCTGAAAAAGATTAGAGGTTTATTCTTTGTTTTCTGTTTAGGATTGGGTTTCTAGTTCAATCTAAGGTCTACTTCAGCTCTATACTCTTAATGCCTGTCCTTTCCTAAGCTAATATTACTCCACACAGTTCCCCTCTACCTTGAGTGGCTTTCAGGCCTTGTACTGGGTGAATATTTGTGGAAAAATGTGTTTTAATTTTCATTTATTTTCAAGCATTAAAAAAAATTTATTAAAGGTTAAAGGAAAATACTTGGAATTGCTCCTCATTTCCACACTTTTTTATGAATTTCTCCTTTTCAATGATTTTCTTCCATGCGTTATTTTCTTGTGTTTTAATTTTAATTTTAAATCCATCTTATTTTCTTAGGGTGAGAAAACAAAGAACATTCAAAATGCATTGGAGGAACTGAATGTTTCTGATCAAAAAATTTCTTCATTTATAAAAATTCTGAAAGTAGAAGGAAGCCTGGAGGATATTGAAAAAAATTTGCATTTTTTAACAAAGTGCAAAGGAGAGGTGAGAAAAAACTTTTTTTATTCATCTTAAATTCTCAGCCTGTTAAATGTTTATTTCTAACAAGGTATCGGAAAATATATAGCAAAAATTTCTTGGTCATATAAAATACATCATTCCTACAAAAGTGTGTGTGTGAGTGTGTGTTATAGATTATGTTGATAAAGTCCCCAGCACTAACATGTAAGAAATATTAGCAAAATTTTAAATGTCTTGTGAATATTACTCAACTCTTTATTGCTCATACAGTTAAAAAAAAAAAAAAAAAAAAAGTTTACTAAGTGTGACAAAGTATAGGAAGTTGTGATCGCCACTGTCCTGATGGGACATGGCACATGGAAGTCATTTTAATTAATTATTCATGGTAGTCAACATTTAAAATAAAAAATATTTTAATAACAAGAATCATGTAGAATAAAATTGGCAGGTAATTCTGTTTGGAATTCAAAGGAAATTTCTTATTGCAAATTAATGAAAACTACACATATTTTATGTAAAATACTATAGTGAATAATTGGCTCATTTGAATCGTGCATTGAAAGAGAAAATAACATTTCATTTCTGGGCAAAGAATTTATTTATTTTTAATGACAGTGCTAGTCCTCATTTTCCAAATGATGACACTCTCTTCTAAATGTCACGTGTTTTGCTTTCTGAATTTTTATATTCTCAGTTTTGTTCAAACAAATTCAAGTTTCAAAACATTCCGCCTAATCAAAACAAATGTTTTAACTGAAAAATAGTATTAAAGTATTTTGATGCTATAAATTTATATCAATAAGAGTTTAACAAAAATCCTTTTACAGCAACTTAATAATGGTTTGATGCATTCACTTTTGCATAAATTCCCTTGGGAATGGTGTTCATCTATCTCATCCTAGCCCTAGCTATAGGGCAAATAGCAGAGCAGACTTGCATTTCTGGATGGAAACCACTCTAAGAAAAAGAAACTTTTAATTCTAAACTGAAAAGGTATTGAGAAAATCTCTCTTTCTCAAGAAGACATGGCAAATCACAGTGTCTTGATCACCAACATGCTGAAGGGATATGACATTAAAAAAAAAAAATTATGGAATGCAGTTTAGTTATTGTTGTAGAGTAAGATTCAGCATACTTCCTACTCTTCCCTATTACTGTGACAATAGACTGTTCCTATTTAAAAATACGACAGGTACCATTAGAGAAAGACTCAAGTTATTCCAGTTATGAGTATTTAACAAACAACTACTTCTTTATCTCTCCCTTATCTTCCATTCCTTTGATACTTTAACTACAGACTTCCTAGTTTTCAGTTATTTTGAAATCCTCTTTGACTATTTAATAAACCTCTACATCTTTGTTTCCTCTCCCTTGTCTTCTATTCCTTTGATACTCTAACTACAGCCTTTGTAGTTCTCAGTTATTTTGAAATACTCTTTATGAGTATTTAATAAACCTCTTCTTCTTTATTTCCTCTCTCTTGTCTTCTATTCCTTTGATACTCTAACTACAGCCTTTCTAGTTCTCAGTTATTTTGAAATCATCTGGATGTGTATTTAATAAACATCTTCTTCTTTGTTTCCTCTCCTTTGTCTTCTACTTCTTTTGATACTTTAACTACAGCCTTTCTAGTTCTCAATTATTTTGAACAGGCAACATTACAACAGTTAAAATGTATTGAAAGGAGATAGGACCACGACAAATCTTTTAACAATTGATTAATGATGCTATGATTTTCAGATTGTCAAAAAAATGGCAATCCATAACTATAAGGATTTCCTCAGGTCAAATAGGTGCAAAAATATTTACATATCAAATTATGGACAGGCTGAAGAACTAACTTCTTTTTTTTTTTTTTTTAAGTTACATGCACAACAAAAATAAATTTCTTTTTAAAGATTTGTCGGTCACCAAAAAAATGACAAGTTAGATTGCAAATACATTAAATGCAGTTATATGTGAACAAATATTTTAAAAATAAACCAACAGGAAGAAATTATTAAAAAAAAAAAAAAAAAAAAAAAAAAAATTAAGAAATAAAACTGCATCAAATAGACTGGAGTAAGAAGGGAGGAATAAATAATAATAATGATGATGATGATCCTAGTAGTTGCAGTAGTAGTGGTTGTAGTAGTATTAAGGGTAGTAGTAGTAGTAGTAACAATAAAAATAAAAGTGTATCTAGAAGAAAAAAGATTATAAATAAGTGAATTGAATGGGTAAAGAATCAAAGCTGACATTTACACAAATGTTTTGTCAAACAATTTAGCCAAAGTCTTGACTTGGGGTTGGTACTTAATTTTTGCTTGTGACTGAGTTTTATACCAATGATGTGGTCAACTATTCACATATATTTTTAATGACTTAGCATTTATCTAATATTAATTTCTGAAAAATTGCATTTCTTAACAGAAATCCATATTTTGCTCTACAAGAGAATGAAATCTTCCATTTTTATTTTCAGGTTCATACCTACTTAAAACACGGATTCAAAGAACTGAAAGAAATTCTATCTTATTGTCAGTTTCTTGAAATCAAACTACCAGTAAGTAGGATTGGGATTTTTTTTGTTTAAACTTTGACTCTTTATTTATAATTTTACTTTATTTTATTTTTTGATAATTTTTTTTTTTTTGTTTTGTTTCAGATAATAATAAAACTTAAATTTCTTCGTTGTGTCAATCTGTATTCTGGTATGTTCTTTGAAGTTCATTCCTTCTCCAAAAAAAGGACACTTGAAATACTTGCTGTTGGAGGAAGATTTGATAAGCTTGTAAGTTGTTATATTTAATTTCTAAATCAAAGTTACTTATTTTCAAATTATTATTCAAAGTGTAGCTCTTGTCAAATATTTATGATTGGAATTGGAGAGTTGAGTTAAAGGGAAATAACTGAGACATCTGGAAGAGGCATGGCACATGGAACTAGAACAATCTACAGTTGGACGAAATAACTTGTACTCAGTTCGAAATTCCAATCACTTCAAGTACAACGTCTGAAACATTGTGAATATGGCAATGAAGATGAGGATAACAAACTGAATAATGTAAATAATGTCATCTTGGAGATATTGACATTTTAACAAGTAAAAAGCAAAATTATGACCAAATTTATTGTTCACAACCATCCCTAAAATATCATGATCAGGAAGACCAACATGTTAACAATTGGGCTGTAACCATTCATACAGGGAAATAAAAAACATTTTTAAATTTCAGTACATTTTTTTTTTCTCAGTTTAAGAATTTAAAAAAAAAAAATGTTTCTTTTTGTAAAATTTGAATTTGCTTTTTACTGATTTTAGTATAAAAGCCTGATAAGTTTTCAGTCTAATTTATTCTCTGTTGTCTCATTCCAAAGTATATTACTATGCATTTTAAAAGATTTTCTGTTTCTCAAATAATAGGCTACCTGAAAGAAGTATCTTATACATCTATAAATTACATATCTAAAAAAAAAACATTTAACCTGAAAGTATAAAATTGCATGCAAAATATTTGGATTTTGGCATTGAGTAACCCATGGAGATTGTCATGCCACTGAACAAAATCAACCAACCATTTTGGAATTAATGACCCATAATGGTTGATATGCTGGTTAAATAACCAATCAACCTTGCAAAGTTTAGAATTGCATTCATCCACACCATGTGGTTTCAATAGCAAGTAGATTATTTATGATATGGAGTTTTTTAGCTCTATAGCCACTCTTCAGTACTAAAACAAATATGGTACGTTTTTGTCATGAGCATAATCTATTTTTATTCTTTTTATTTTTTTCCCATTGTTAATTTGCATACAGTTTTTATTTCATTTAGAGTACAGTTTCTAAATGTTATTTTCCTTATGTATTAAAACATTTGAATTTATTACAAGAATTCTCTATTTTCAGATGTCTGATTATACAGTTCCTTTATACACAAAACTGAAATCTACCAACCCTCATGCCGTTGGTGTCAATATTGCTCTTGATTTTATTGTCACAATATTAAACAAAGAACAGGTAGTTTATTTTTCATTTTCATGTTTAGTTTGTATATAGCTTTGAATCCCCACATTTTATGTGATTAATGAAATTAATTTTTCTACCTGTCAAAAAGTCAGTAGTTTAAACATAACTTGGCTGATATGTGACAAAGAGGCAAGAAATGAGGCCATATCATTATACTAAAGGAAGGAAGTGATACTAATTCTACCACAGGAAGGGACATTTCATCAATGTTGGCTAATTCATCTCTGTGACAACTCATTACCAGCCTACACAACACAAGGACAACTCGATGCTGGTGTCAAATTGATAGCTTCACTGATGTTTAATTTTTAAAATTTTCAACACACTGAAAATGGAAATTTTTAGTCAAAAAGGAAAAGAAAAATTTTCAAGCATATGAAGGTCATTTATTTGTATTTGATAAGTTTATTAAAAGAGACAGCAACATAACATTTTTGGCATTGTGATCAATGCTCTAGGTGTAATGCAAGGATTCATACAAAGTTTGGAGCAGTTATCTAGCATTACCACAATTCATCAATGAATAAAATCATGTATTAAAAAATGATCCTTAATAAATTTCTTTTTATTTGTTTTTAAAAAGTTATGTTTTAAAGTTATGTTTTTAAAATGATACTTAATAAATTACTTATATTTGTTTGCATGTTGTTGAGTTGTCTGGGTGATAAGTTGTCATGCACCTATTCTACCATGCTAGGATAGTAGTTTAGTTTCAAAGACTATTACTTTCATATTATTTACATACTATTATTTACATGTTTCATTTGTTGTTGATAAGTCTTCATTAATTATTTACAAATAAAAGGCAAAGATTATCCAATATGTGACCCTGTAAGTGATGAATTATTTTCCAACCTACAATTTCTTTCCCGCTGATGAAATTTTACTATCCTCTTGCTACCCTGTTACTATTTCCATGGTAAAGCTACATTCTTTAGTTCCATTAGTTCAGACTTTTACAGTTAGGACTGACCACACCCTATACACAGGGATAAAACCTCATCATTCCCTTCATATACCATTAGCAAGATTGATTGAGTCATTTAATGCTGAAATTCAGTTTTATTGGGAGCTTGGAAGTAATAAAAATATGATTGATATTATTTTTTTTTTCACAATTCAATATACACAGATATATATATTTTTTGCATATATATGATTCTTGTAAATTATGATTAATAAGACTAATGTGTGTTTTGTTGGAGTTATATTTTGGAATACAGTTTTATTTAAGAAATTGTAAGATATTATATGGCTTAATGTCATGAAAGTTCTATAAATTTTAAAAAATAATATTACCAGTTATACATTTTGAGGAAAAATATTAACAGAAATAGATTTTTGACAAAACAAAAAATATTACCAGGAAAAAAATTAAATTGGTTTCGCATTAAAGAGACCCTATTGAGATGGATTACAAAAACCAAACCAAACCAAGCCATCCATTTTTGAGCTTTTTTTTATGTCCAAACAAAGGCCTAACTCATAGTATTTGTCTATTGTTTTTCTTTATTTTTTAATTTTAAATAAAATTTTTATATATATATATATATATATATATATATATATATATATATATATATAATAAAAAGGCTTAAACACTATTATTTCCATGGTCATAATTTATTCCATTGGAATCGTAAATACGATCCAAATCATCAAGACCTACAAATATAAAAATGAAAACAAAAAAAAAACAACTCCGGAAATAAAAAACAGAATTTAGAGAAAAAAGTATGAGGAGGAGGGAGATGAAACCTTAACAGAGAGAATTTTAGGAGATGTGGGGGATTTTAAAAAGAGGAGAGAAAGATCTTTTGACGGATGTCTAATGCATAAAGATACATTTCGTGGTGACATATACACCATAGACAATTTAGGAAAGGGGAAGAAAAAAAAAAAGGAAAAAGAAGAGGTGGGGGAGAAAGATGGGACGAAGGAAATTAAAAATTGTGTTTACTTAAAGGGTATTTATAACTAATTGAGAAAATTTGACAAATTTAATATCGACTACAGGTTACAAATCAAATATAAATATATGAAGATGAATATAACGATTGTCTAATTTAGCAAGGACCAAATATTTTATGTTAAAAACACATACTAATACACACAAAAACATATACAAGTATATACATACATTTAGGCATGTACTCACACACACACACACAGACATACGTACACACACACACACATATATATATATATATATATATATATATATAAAACATAAAATATAAAAATATACATACACATATTATATACATACACATATTATCTATATTCATATACACACACTCTTTTCACATACATATATATATACGTTTACATTTTATATATGCATATAACACATACATACATTATACATATACACACACACATACATACACGATACACGCATATATATATATATATATATATACATATATTTTTTAATGATATATTATATACCCATACATACACATATATATATATATATACATATATATATATATATATATATATATACATACAAATTGATAAAACATAACATATATACATTTACATATATACACACATACACACACATACATGTATATATATATATATACACATACATACATACATACATATACATAAAAATATATACATACACACATATATGTACATTTCTGTAAATAATATAACATTATACACATACGTATATATACATACTAAAAATATACACACATATTTACATCTAAAAAATATACATTTTGCCCATTATAAATACAAAAATATCGGATCCATATATTTACCATATAAAATTTAAAAAATCTAAATTTCCTGTCTATGAAAAATATATTTTGATTACAAAAAAAAAAAAAAAAAAAAAATATATTTATATAACCCAATATATATATATATATATATTTTTATATATAAATTGAGAACCATTAGTCCGAAAGGTTCAGAAAATATAATAATTCGAAATGTGAAAAGAATGACAAAATTTATTTTCTCAGTAAGAAATTTTTTTATTTTTTATTAGAACCTAAATTTATTATTTTGCTAATAATTAGATATAAGCCTGTTATGAGTTTCATAAAATTTCAAATTTTTTCAAAATGAGAGTTTTAAAAAAATATATGAATTTTTGGTTTTTGCCTCGAATGATTTACGAAATCATCTTCCAAATAGAAAAAGATAGTCCATTGGGAATGAGAAAGAAAAAGAATGAACCATTTAAAAAAGAATTTTCACATTTAAGAATGGACTTTGAATTTAAAATGAATTTTATCTACAAATTGTTTAACAAAAGACGAAATTTATTTGAAGTATGATCAAAATTAATCATTGTTTTGCAAATTTTTTTATTTTGTAGTCTATAAATTTTAAAGCTAGATTATATCAAAAAAGGCTTCTTCATTTGTATTAAAAGAACATTCTGACAATATTTAAACGAAGTAAAAAAAGAAATTATATGAAAAGAATTACTGAATTTTTTTTTTTTTTTACGATTTTTTTGAAAAAGCTTTTTTTGACAGATTAAATTTGACAATTTGTTTTTTCAAAAAGAAATATTTAAACTACAAGGAAATTTTTTTTTCAAGTTTCATCGTATGTACAAATTTGATTCGTTGCAATTTTTGATGAATATTATAGATCAATCAAAAAAAAAATTTTCGCCAAATATAAAAATAGTTTTGAATTAAATAAAATCCATTAATCTGTGAACAATATCCCGTATAGAAATGGTAGACAATTTTCTGGAATATAAAAATATTTTTTGATAAATATGTAAATTGTCTGAGATCAATAGTTTCAAAACAATTTATTTCATCTTTTTTATGATCAGTGAAACAAAAATTATTTAATTTTTTATAAAACTATTTAACACTCAAAGAAACCAGGATGTCAATTTAGCTAACGGATTAATTCTGTTTAAAGAGAATTTACAGACATCCTTTTTCGAAAAATTTAAAAATTCAAAAAAATAAAACAGGTAGAATTTTAAATTACCATGAGTAAAAAAAGTAAAAGAAACATTCTATGCTGAAACAGGGAAAATTCTATTGTGTTTCATTAATTAAAGCGTTCAGATATAGATAAATAGATTTTGGATATATATATAATACAAAATTACAGAGACAATCTAACGCTAAAGGTAGTCTAGTAAAAAATAGGGAAAGAATGTTAGGAAAACCTTTCAAAAAAAATTATTTATAAAAAATTAAAATATTTTGTATTCATGATCATTTGGCTGAATAAGAGAAGAATTATATTCTAGATACCAAAAAGAATTTTTTAATGTCTATCACAGTTTATTTAAATGAGTGAATTTGATTATAACAAACTTGACATTTTTTGAAAACTTCATTTTTATATAGTTCGTTATATATTTTTATAAATATATTTATATGTGTCTGGTGACAATAATGCCCTGTTATTTGACATTTTAAAAAAATAAAGGATCATATCTTAAACAATAAAATTAAAATTTTGGTAATTAAGAAAGTTTCACTAAAAGATGTTTAATTGAAAGGTGCATTATTGGTGAATATTTTAACAATATTTCTCTCTTCTTATAAACCGAATTAAAAATCATATGATGTTTTTTTTATAAAAAATTAGAATTTTATCTGGTTACTTTTAATCCCTTTTTGAGGAATTTTTTTTGTGGAGATGATATGATTGATTTTTTTATGAGATTTTTTTAAAATTAAAATATTTACTTAAAAAAAACAAAATTTAAAATTTTTTCTTTCTTTGTTTGAGACAATAATTTTACTGAAATTTTATTTTTATTTTGGGAACCATAGACAATTTTTTTTTTTAAACATTTATTCTTTGTTCAGAAAAATAATTTTTAATATAAGTTTAAACAAAATCAGTCAATTTAATAAATATTTGCAAAGAAAAAAGTCTGCCTATTTATTTTAAACCATATACAAAATAAAGATTTTACCAAGTAAATTCCCATACTTTATTGGAAAGATAAAATTGTTAGTAAAAAAATATTAAAACTTTAAAAAAATGATCATAACACATGAGAATGAGGCCCAGATTAAAATGATTCAGAATAAATAATTAAATGGACAAAAATAAGGAAGAAATGTTTGTATTATTCGAAATAGAAAAGGGGTTTTTCATCATTAAACTTAATCGAAAATGAAATGATTAAAATTTAATGTTATTGTTAATTTGTTTTTTTAAAGATCTAATGAATTAAATATTTTTTTAATTTGATTTTTAACATAATATGATTTTTTCAATTTGGTTGAATAACAGATGAACAATTGTCATTGATTTTTTTTAATATGACAAACATTTCAATCATTTTGAAAAATATTTAAATATAATTACCAAATGGAAGTTGAAAATTTACTTTATTTTTAAATCTTTTCATTTTTTTCTGTTTGTGGTCCTTTATTAGAGTTTTCTCAAAATGGCAAAAGATTTCTCAGTAACAAATTTTGATATTTCCAGAAGTTTATCAGAGTTGGCTTCAAACGGGTAGATGAAGTTAAATTCTGTTATTAACATCATGGCTTCTTTTCATTGATTAAAATTTGCAAACAACATCCAGAATAACGATGGAGTCACAGTTCAAAAGAAGTTTCAGTTCAATTTTAATAGACGAATGAAGGTTTTACGGACATCTTGTTTGCATATTTATAGACAGAATTTTAGCCCCCTTGTCAGTAAACCTGAACTAAAATGCATCGGAGACATGACACCTGATCAAATGCTTTGAAACCAAAAGGGTATTGAGGACTTTTTTGTTTTTCAGGACAAAATGAATATTTTGAATCTTTCAGGTTTTTTGAATGAACACAGAAAAACATTATTTGTAAATTTTGTAGTTACCATTTAAAAAAAACCAGGCTTTCATTTGAAGAAATTTTTGTTTGGTAAACCAAAATCACGATGAAATGAATTGAATTTCTGGAAACAAAAAACACAGACAATTATTACTAAAAAAAGAAAATGGGAACAAAAAATTTTTTTTTCATACATCAATATTTACTTTGGGATCATACGAATATTTCCATGGAAAACAATTTTGGGGATTGGTAAAAAGCACTTCAAAATAAAACATAAAATTCAAGAAAGGGGGTTCTGTGTTTTTGCATTGAAATTTTGGACCAAAGACTTTTTGAGAAGCAGACTGCAAAATACTGACCCATAGCAACAACCAGATGAAACAAACTTGTTATGAAAAGATGAGGCTTTAAAATGTTTATATGAATTCCTCCTGGGTATGATTTTCCCATGACATCTTGTCCTGGGTAAAATGATAAACTAAGTCCAACATCCAAGTAATGATGATCAGAGGTTTTCTTAAGGCCTGGAACCACCTCTTAATTGCTGATTTGTAAAACTTATGACCGGGGTGGTAGCACCTGTTAGGGTCCCAGCTATGGGCAAATAATTAACCCAGTAAACTGGGGTAAAAAACATTATAAAAGGAATAAAAATAGATTTTAATACAGAAATATTTATAAAAATTATTAAACAGAAATAAATTTTTGAAGAAAATGAAATATTACCAGCAATATATTTTGGAAACAAACTATTACCAATATTTACGTTTTTTTTTTGAAAAAAAAAAAAATTACCAGGTTACGCTTTTTTTTTTTTGAAAAAAAAAAATTTTACCAGCAATAAATATGGATTAAAAAAAAATTAAATTACCATTAATGTTTTTTGAAAAAAAAAAAAACTTATCCTAGTCTTGATCGTTTTTTTTTCAAAAAAAAAAACTTATTATGAAGCAATATTTTTTTTTAAAAAAAAACAAGGAATCCCCATAAAAAACAATTTTTGAAAAAAAAAAATTTATTACCAGCAATAGTGTTTTAAATAATATTACCATCTAAATAAATGGTTTTGAAAAAAAATAATATTACCAGAAATAGATTTTTACAAAACAAAATATTACCAGGGGTGGGGAGTTGTTGGCATTAAATACCCCATTGAAATTGATATGCTCTAAAACAAAACCCCAGGATATCAGTAGCTCCAGGAAAACTGCTGTCATCAGTGGCAAATTCAAAAGGCTTCATGTGGACATTGCCACTCTACAGGAAACATGTATGTCTGGATAGCTGAAGGAGAAGGACTACACATTCTTCTGGCAGCAGAAGATTCCAATGAACCACACCAACATGGAGTGGGCTTTGCAATGAGGAACAGCCTGTTGAATATGGTAGAACCAGGCAGCAACGGCTTCAAGAGACTCCTTATTTTACGTCTCAACACTACTGCAGGCCCTGTCAATCTTGTCTGCATGTATACCCTGACGCTCTCTTCCACACCGGACACCAAGGACAAATTTTACATCAAGCAGGCAACCACCATCAGCAGTATCCTCAGAAAGGAACAACTTGTTCTCCTGGGCAGCTTCAATGCCAGAATGGGTGCTGATCATAACTCTTGGCCTTTATGCCTTGGACGGTTTGGCATTGGCAAGATGAATGACAATGGCTTGAGACTGCTTGAGCGCATTCATCATTTTGCTGCCAGCTAACTCCTCTTCAGGACCAAGCCATTGCATTAAGTATGCCATTGGATTTTTTGCATGAAACTCACTTCCAGCATTGGCACAGCTGACGGTTCAAATTCATCAGGAATGAGCAATAATCCAAAACATAACACATGTTCTACCACAGAGGAAACTGCAAAACGCCATCAACTTGGTAAAGGCAAGACTGCTTCTCTCTTTGAACTTCCATTTCTTCAAAAACTATTTTAAATTGCATTGATGTGACAAAATGATTTCATGTGCACCCCAGCAACTACCTTGTCAATCCAGGTTTTAGAATGAGCTGCAACATATAAGGTTGGAGATTGCTCTTGGAGAAGTGAGCGACCTTCTTGGGATTCTTTGCTTCATTCCTTTTGCTATAATATCTTTAGAAGAAAGACTCTATAAATAATGACTGGTTTGAGGTAATTCACGAGATGAACTTTCCTATATGGTATGTTGCTCTGTAGAATACATGGCCACACAGCAAGAGAAACCTGCAGATCCTGGCTGCCAGGAGCAAGTTGACCTGCTGCCAGATGTAACAATGAGTACTCTGCTAGTTTCGTCAAACCATCTTGAAAGCAAGAACAGGAACATAAGAGGATTCAATGGCATCAAGATGGCAATTTGACCTTCAAAAGACAGCTCCCTCAAATCCATCATTAGTCATCATCTTAAGGTGCAACAGATTGGAGACTTTTGGCTGTTTTCTTTTCCAACTTCTTTCCATGCAGAATGTAATGATGAGTTTCTTTCTTTGGACGCCATTGAGTCTTTCTCAGTAGGAGGACATAAAAACTGAACGATAACCGGTAGAGGAATTTTCAAGGGCCATTTCACGATGCTTGGCTCAGGGAAAAGGTCGGTTTTTTGGGTTCTCCTCATCTCTAATTGGGCAATGCAAGACTTTTTCTACGGAACCGTTTTCAAGATCCTCTTACCAGTGCTAAGATAGAAGGGCTTCACCTCAGAACATCAGAGAGTCAAACCAGTCTGAGACATCATTTCCATCAAAATCATTGGAAAACAACTGCAACAACTACAGACAAAACTAACTACTATGATCAGAGAACAAGATGCATTGTTTTCTTCTTGGTCCACCTTCAAAGATGTAAGTTTGAATGAATTTTTTTGATTTAAAATGTAATATCAAGAAGACTTTCTTTTATTCAGGAATGGTAGATTACATTTTTCTCTTTCTGCCAGAATACCATAATTTGTAAGAAAAGTGGTGGATGCCCTGTACATTGCTTTTTTAATTTTTTTCATCAAGGTGTAATGATATTGTCAGCAAAATATCAAAATAAGAATTCTCTCCAAGATTGGCAGCCCATAGAAACCTGCAGAACATCAAATTGAGTCATTCCTCAGTAACATCCGGGGTTAGTGATCAATGACTTTACTTGAGCCTCTTCAACAAGAAAATAACAAATTAAAACAGGTCCTGTATGCACCTTGGGTGCCCACACTTCTTCTGAAGCATTTATTCAGCACATCACAAGAGAAAGGATTTCACATTTTGCACGCAGATCAGATGGCAGGCTGTTCAAAAGAACCCACCCAAGAGCCAGGACCAAAGAATGAAGCCCTGTCAGAGACTTTTTACATCAAAATGCAAAACAGTAAAATCAAATTCAGTGTGAATCAGTCACTGAAGAATTTTTTTCCAGGCTGCAGAGAATTTTTTAATGACCATCAGCCTGAAAAAGAAACATCCTGGGACAAGGTAATGAACCACCACCAGCCATTACCATTGATAAAATATAGCTTGATTTGGTCCATCTGTTCAAAATGTGGGTTCCATATCACTGACAACCTCCTTAGATGCAGAGATTGACAAGAGAATCAGGAAGGCAGCCACAACCTAATAAATAAATATAAATGTGTGTGTGACCAATCCCTGCTTATTGGTAAAGACAAAGGATGGCAGTGTACAGTGCCTGTGTTATCAGCACAGGACTATATGGCAGCAAGGCTTGGACCGCGTATTTACCAGGCAAGAAAGGCATCTGAACACATTTCACAAATTTTAATCCACCCTATCCTGGGAATAATTTAAAAGATTTGCTCTTCTTGCCTTTGAGGTTCTGTCTTTGCAGGTTTGCCCAGCATTTTATTTACCTGCTCAGACAGTATATACTCCGTTAATTGGGCAAAGACATGCCAGCCCCACATCCCAAAGACCTCTTGGATAGCTGGTGGATCATTTTGGTAATTAATATTACTAGGATCCACCTTGATCATATAACTCTGACCAATTACCTGTACATCAGATTATATATATATATATACACACACACACACACAGGTAAAATGAGAACAAATGGAGTATAATTCCACTGTACATAACATTTAATTTAAAAGAGGACACAATACAGAATAGAGCTAAATATTAATTAATATATATATTAATATGTATATAAGGAATTAATCTTTGACTTGCCAGTAGTTTAACATTGCCCGAAGAGATACATTTGTAGTGTTGAAATATAATTTTCACTATGCAGTGATTCTTAACATGTTTTAATATCCTAAAATAAATGATATTGTGTGAGTGTATATATATATATATATATATGTGTGTGTATATAAATAAAAAGAAAGAACAGCAAGATATATAATCCGGTGTTCTTAGCTTCCATTTTTGAAACATGGTTAGAACTGTGTAGCGAAAAAAAACATTTTAAATCAATTAATTTATAATATATATATATATTACACACTCACACATGCAGATTGCGAATTAAACACAGATTGTGATGGACAGGCCACGTTATTCGTATGCCAGATGACAGAATGTCAAAACAATTAAAGTATGAGAAGTAAAATGGGAAAGACTGCAGCACAAGCCAAAACTTTATTATAAGATTTTAAAAGTCACTAAACAAGTGCAATATTGGTCAGATAACTGGAAACTGTAGCTGAAGATCAAGTTTCTTGGAAAGTTGGTATTGCCAATGGCATCAAAATCTTCATGGGCATCACAAAATATGCAGAACTGAAGAGAGGAGTTGAAGGATCCCTGAATTGCCAAGTGTGCCAACCCGGCCATGCGCCCAATGTAACTGGATATGTCATCAAGGAAGGTTTTGGTCAGTCATCAGAAATCCACACCAACACCAGCAGTCTATTGCATCTGACAATTTCATTACATGCTTGAATGTCCAACCTGCGCACTAGGGTGCACAAGTTCAGGTTGGACTTGGGATAAGGCAAATAAAAAAAAAAAAACACATTAGAAGTGATGATGCTCAAATCAACTTCCACCACCTGGAGATGATTTGACACGCCACATATTTAACAAGAAATGCAGATCAATGGCTGGCTTTATGAGCCACTGTCGTTCATACAACAAAATAAATGGTGTTGTTGTGGGTGGGGAGCTTAACTGATGTACTCATAATGTCAAGGATGGTCATACTCACTTTATGATTTGCAGCCACTCATATATATATATATATATATATATATATATATATATATGAAAGCCTAAATCTAAATGATTAATTAACAACTCTAGGATTCATGAGGTCCTGTCATTTACTGGAGTATTTGCCTGCAAATAACGCTGAAAGAGCAAACCAAAGACAGCACTGTGTGTGTATGCATATTTGGTGGAGAGAAAAGAGGTCAAAAATGGTAACAACTTGTGGCAAAGAATTCACAACTCCATTGAGCATGGAATGCTTTAAGGTGTCTCATACTCAGGAATTTCACATATTATTTTCCTCTTTTTTTTTCTTTATTTTTATAATCTTAAGCATTGAAATATCATTTTTAGAGTCTTTATATATAAAAAATACAAAGCAAAGCAAAATATATTTTAACAAAACTTTTCTTACCAGCAGCACAAATTCCAGCAAATCTTTTCCTGTCATTTACAGTTTATAATGATTGATTTTAATTAAAATTATTTGAACATTTCAATCAACATTTCAAGATGAAAATATATCAAGAACTTGATTAAATATGTTAAACTTTACATCTGTCGATATAAATATCTCACATTGGAACAACTTTTTGCATGTCTTACATGCATTTTTATGAAAAATAGATACCATTTCTGGTCTCATCACAATCTTTTCTATTCTGTCCATAAAAATAAATCAAGTGCAGGAGGATTGGTTTGCTCTCTTAAGTAATTTTTGACATATTTTGAAGAGAAGTAGCTAATTTGTGACTTGTTCCTGTTTAACGTTACATTCCACTTTCTTTCACCTAATCCTTAAAAAACCTTTTCACCCCCAGTAATGATAATTCCTTCATGGCACTATGATTTTCCTTTGGATGGAATCATTCAATTAACAGAAAAAAAAAAAAATTGCTGGTTCATAATTCTTCCTTGTTTTTGAACAGGGTACAAATTTTCCCTCCTGGCAAAGTTAAGATTTGGTTAGAATTCATTTCCTAATCTTCCATTATCTTTCCCTCCCCCAAAGTAACCTTTTCTTATGTAGTTTTATCATCTTCCTTGGATGAAAATGATTAAAAAAGACAATTAACAAAAGGGATAGTAGGGCACAAATGAAAATGTTATAAATTCACAAGGTTTTCCAAATAATGTTGGATGATACTGAAATAATCCATTTTTAGCTATGCTTTAATAAGTACTATATATTTTATATGTATATATATATGCCTATATATATAATTGGGAATTTGTTTTTTTCCCTTTTTTTAGATTGGGTTACCACTTCATTCTAATCTCTTCTCATTTCTTTTTCCATAGAATATGAGATTAAATGCGACAGAAAAAAGAATTGAGATCTTTGCTTGGAAGTGGAAAGGTTAAAAAGTGACAACATATACATTGGCGATGATATTTACAATCCTTCCCTTTGTTTTTTGAATTGGTTCTTCTAGGGATTTTTTCTTGAAGGATTGGCAGTTTTGGCGTTATTCTCTATAATCTCTTTTCCATCAGATTTAACTTAAATTTAACTAACAGTTTCTTTTGGCATTATCATCTTCTTGGGATGAAAATGATTAAAAGAACCTGG